AACTGCTGTGCGAAAGATGAGGTTATTTGGATGAGGATTCAAAATATTGTTGTTAGTGAAAGTGGGAGGTTGGTGGTGGCGGTGAGGCATTTTTATTGTTTCGCATGGGGGGGTGTTTCGGAAGTGGGTACGTTGACTTAGGATGACCTTGTCTCTCTTGAGTTCGAAATTGGATGCGGCTCCTGCGGCGGGACATAAATGCATTTGGTATTGGAAGCCTCAGGTCTAATACATGTACCGGCACCTGACAACACAACAACGAGAAGAGCACTTATGATGAAGGAAGCCTGGGTCCTACGAGGTGGCGCGTGGTGTTAGGCGTAATGATCAGTGTTCGCGGGCGTATCAATGAATCAGGCGGCTAATCAAATCTCGGGAAATGCAACCTTCACGGCATCGACGCTTACATGCGTTCTACCGAAGGAGACCGTGGGACTTGAAAAGGAGCCGCGCGGTATATAGTGATTGGAAACATAGACTCAGCGCTGAAGGCTTTGGGCACTGGCAAGCAGATCAGGCTGGTAGGCAGCCACCCACCCTCTTCGGGTAGCCTACCCGGCCTGGTCAGCCCACAAAATTGATAAGAACATTAACAAATGGACACTCGAATCTGTATCTTAAAGTTTTCAGCTTGTGGCGTGAAAAGTGCGCAGCGATATGGTTGCCCACATGCGCAAGTTCGGAAGGGATACCCTGACATCAGGCTCTTCGATCGGCACGCTGCTGACATGGCGAACATCGAGACGGTGAACTACAGAAAGGCCTGGTGGTCAAGGCATCTAAAGTTTTAGTTCGAAGTATATGTAAATGGCAAGAAAGCACCACAATGTGTTCTGTGCAAAGTAAAGGTCGGCAATAATTGCTGTTCGAGAGTTGAGCGAAACAGGCATAATGTCCCGGTTAGGATACCCTGCATGTAAAGATGTGGCAATATGTATAGTCACATAGAGCTACAGTGTCTAAACATAGCAAATACATACTCGTAAAAGTTGTTGAGAACAAGGAAGTTGATCCAGGAGGTTATTTCAGGCTTAGATTTCCAGCCTTAAGCCGGATGATAACACCTATGACTTTGAGGTAATTCGCTATAAAATGCTTCAGGCGAGAGAATCGGCGAACCATGCAAATTTTCCTGTCCCTTCAATAGTTGATAATTGACACCTCTTATACTTAACGATGTTTAAGATATTTACATATCGTCCATCTCACTATGTAGTCAACCGTCTGTTTAGTTGGTAAGGTATATAAGGGCAAAGAAGGTGGCGACTAAGAGACTTTTCCCCCGCAAAATGAAGATGTCGTTGATCGTATTTGAAGGGTCATAGTCTGCTTGCCGGCAAACGAGACCAAGTCTTCGCTGGTCCCGACAACATTGTAGGAATATCTCACACAGTTGAACCAATTTTGGCGTATAATGAAGGCCTTATCAGACGTATTTTATTAGAGGATAAACAGCCAGAAACGACGAACAGAGGTGACAAACACTTTCGAAAGTCTGTCAAGATGTACTTCAGAAGTTCAGGTTCTATACATAATACGGCCCCGATATCCTCAAACACTAGAGAAAGCCGGGAAGAATTGACATTACCTGTTTGGTAAACACCTGACATTCTCCTCTGGAATGAGGCAGAGGATTGCCACGAATGTTCTTGTCGACTCAAATACCAGCCCACTCCCTCTTTTAAACCTGGGAGAGCTAGGTGAGCATGCCGATCTGACGTTTCTCCGCATCTATTGTTGTGGCCGGCATAAAACACAGCGATGAAACATTCGGGTAAATCTGAATTCGTGCGTAAGAGAACGGACACCGAAGTCCCGTGTTGCCCATCGAGGGAATTATTTAAACCGGTGCAAGCTGCCCTCCTGAATCGTTACGCGGCAATGGGCCATGACCAAATGCTCTCTTTGTCAGAAGGAATCACTAAGGTTTTTCTTGCTAGAGTTACTCCGTGGAACGCGATCTACGGGACTGAGCGTATTTGAAGTCCTCTGTCAATCAAAGGAAGTGACAATTCAGCGGAATACTTGGATAACCAACGAATGGCGACGAGGGCAGACGATGACGCCTCAACGCGATGCTCGGATATGAACTTCTGTCACTGTTCCTTCTCACTTCTACCAATACAAAGCTTTTAAATTCGTACGGAACGCTGGTTAGCCGACAATCCGGGAAAAGGTGGTACATTTTGCTGGCCTGGGAAACTCACTAGCAGCAAAAAACGACCTTTTATTGCTCCTGATTAGACGCGAAGCTGAACAACCACTCCTGCGTACCGGTATTCGTATGTCTCCATCTCAAATGACAGATAACTCGCCCAATCTCCCGCCGAGCCATCATCATATGACTACATACCTACCAGAGAAAACAAACACTGAAGTCCTGTCTTATTTGGCGAGTGAAATATTCAAACTCGTAGACTGGCTGCATAGTTTTCTGAACGACACAAGAAATATGTTGGTCATCATCATTCTGGAAACGATTAGGAACTTCACTCCAAGGTTTCTCATTAAATCCTTTAGAACTGAGCGCAGTTTGAAGTCCACCGCCAACCAAGGAAAGTGCTCCTTCAGCAGAATACTGGAACAATTAACGGACAGCGATGAGGGCGGTGGGCGAGACCGCGTTTCGATGCCCTTGTTTGAACCACTTCGACTCCTATGTTTACTGAGGTAACGCAGGGGAAAAGCCGGATTCCAATGACACGATGTTCACTCACCAGCTCATCCAGAAACCCCAAATTGTGTTATTTAGGAAACCCGTCAACGGCAGCCAAACTGCCTTTTATGCTCACTTAATTGATCACGAAACCAACGGCAACTCCATGCTTCCACGCATACCGTCTTCATCCCAACACATCCCGGGTGTGACTCACCCCATCCCCCCCCGGCCATTACGCGCGGCCATCCCGAACCCCTCCACGCCCGGACCTCAAAAACGAGCCCCACCACCGCTCCGCCACCGCCGCGCCGCGCATACCGCCCCACATCGGCACCGGCATTCGGAGTTAACATCCCAAGAGAAGAAAATGACGTCACCGCCCTTCGGAAAAAATAGCCCAGGTTATCCCTCGCAACGCAGGGTACAGCCTCAAGCACGGTATGGTCTAGATTGCAAAGAACCAAGGCTAGCCTACTCGCAAACGTCCCAACATGGATCAGAGCTTTGGGATGGTGCGGCGTGATAGTTAACGGTCCTAAGATCACATGTGCCGGCGGCGTTGTCTCCAATTCATTGACGCGGGGAAACTTGGGGGCAGCAGGTTTTAACCCCTGAACCCCGGACTGCTTGAATTCACCAGTGTTTAGTGTGGAAAGATGTTCATGAGAAGGCCTTACCAATTTTCCAAGTATGCACAGAATAGACAATATGATTACCAAAAATGAGGCCGTTCCATCGCGTCAAAGTGACTCAGTTTGCGTTCCGAGATGCCAAAAAAAACAAATGCCAACCGAGTGGGTGGTCGCTGTCATGATGCATGCAACATGTCCCCTCCAATGCAACGCTATGCTTCACCGTCTATATCTCGCGTCCTCACTTCCTCCCTCTCTCTACCGCGTTGTCCGCAAAACGGATTCCCCTCGTCTTCGGTGGCACTCTCTCGCCACCCTCGTCGTCGGAGTCGTCGCCTCCTGTAGGCGAACCCATGCCGAGAGCAGCCTCTCTACGGCGTCGCTCCGCAGGGGTCTCGCCGGCGTCCTCGTCTCCCTGGCCCGCCAAGACAGCTAACCTACGCTGTCTCTCGACGGCAGTCTCGTCCTCATCAACGTCTTCGGATTCCCGGGCGGGTGGTGCCTGGGACAAACCGGTGTTGATGCGCGGAGGAGACCGGGCTACCGACTGCTTGTCGGCAGAATCGCTTCCAATCTTAATGGTCGGGATGTCTGCCGGGGAAGGAATGTCTCCCTTCGCGATTGACTTGACTCGCTGAGATGCGGTAGATTGGTCTACGACCTCGCGGCGAGTCTTGACGTCGAGCTTCGATACTTCCCGAATGAAGTCCTCCTTGGTCATGCGCTGACCAACGCCGCCAATGGTGAATCTAATGTGTCGATCGTCCTCTTGTTGCTGCTCGACAGCGTTCTTCTTGGGCTTGTCGCCCTCGCCGCCTCTCCACATGTTTTGCCATCCAGCCTTCGCGGGTGCCTTGGCAGCACCTTCGGTACTAGACTCGCCTTGCTTGGCGGCGGCGGCCTCAGCTGCCGCCTTTTCGGACGCCTTAAGCAAACCACCCATGCCAAGATACTTCAGACTCTGTTGCGTGATGCCGCCAATTTCCTTTCCAGTCTTGGTCGATGGCAGCTCGTAAGTCTTGATAACCTCACCATCTTCGTCTTCGACAATAACCTATCATCATGTTAGCGACAGCCAGCCATTCACCAACTCCCAAAACTTACAGTGTTGCCAAATTGGAAAGCACGAGCAGGCTCGTGTCGTCTGTCAGCCTTGCTCTTCTCCTTGCGCTTCTCAACTTCTGAAGTGTAGACATCCTCAACCTTGCGCTTGAAGGAATCAAGGGTCCAATTGAACTTCTCCCCCTGCTTCGACTTGGCGGCAGCCACGGCAGCAAGATCAGTGTGAACGGGGTCGCCGCCCGTACCTTCACGTAGGTCAGAAGATCTTTCAACGGTCAAGACATCTCCATCCTCATTCTCGACCACCAGGTTGTCTCCTTCCTCGTAGATCTGGATCTTGGGCGGTGTCTGGGTTCGGCTGGATCCCTCTTCAGGAGAAGGAGCAATCTCATCGTCCTTTTCGGGATCTCTTCCACGACCCCTCTCGGAATCGCGTCTGGCCGGCGTCGTCTCATCGGTATTGTCTGGTGATGAGGGTTCCTTCTCGTTGGGTAAGGGCTCACGTCTCGTGGGGAAAATAGCAGACTGGGAAACAGGTCCACCGGGACCAAGACCATCCTCCCACTTCTTGCTCTTGCGACGGCTGCGGGAAGTCGAACGACCCCGGTGTTTGGAGCCATCTTCGCCCTCCTTCTGGCGTCTAAGGAATGCGCCGGGGAAGCCCACAGGGGGCAAGGTCCCGGGTGGGAAATCCGGCATTTTCAAATCGTCGCCATCGGTATCGGACATGGTGCGAGCTTGAGATCGAGACTGCGAAGAGATTCTTGGCAGACGGTTCATCCAGGTAGGGCCGTCCTCGGGGGCGGTGGTATAGGACATGGTGATTGTCAGCGTGTTGATGCGCTTTCCGAGGGTGAAGACAGCGACCGAAGAGCCGTGGACGATGATGGATGAGATGACCAGGAAGGTGACGATGGGCCAAATGACTGCAACGAGTGTCCTGTGCTCAATCTCATCCGGCGGGGTGTCCGACAGTGGCACAACGGTCTCCCATTGAAGTTCGGCGCGAGCCAGAATTGCGACAAAGATGGCACCGACGCCAATGGGACCAAAGTGACCGGCGAACAGGGCCTCGCGCCAAGTCTTTATGTCCGGTATAAATGGCTTCAACATCAGCATGGCGGGTATGCGACGGAAGAGAATGACGAAGATGGCGATCACAACCAAGCGCCAAGGGGTGAGACCCTCAGCGACGTTGTTGTACTGCTCCCAAGGGATGATGGTTCCGAGGAAAACGAAGTAGGCCAAGTTGATCAGCAAGTCAATGACGTTGGAAACGTGAGACTCCTCCGTCTTGGCCGCGAACCAACCGTCGTTCGAGAAACCCACGCCGGCTGCAAAACCGACAAGCAAATCGTCCATACCGAGCAAACTACCGGCACCGGCGCAGAACAACGCAAGCACAAAGTAGAAGACCAAGAAACTCTCGCGATCAATGAGGTCGCGCTTCTCGGCGAACTTGATGCCGTGACGCGCAATGTATCCTACGAGGAAGCCAAAAATGGCACCAAAGATGCACTCGTACAGAATGGTGTAGACAATCCAGTGAAACGTTGTTTGCTTGGCGTCCATGTGCTCCTGGATAAGGTAAATTCCGAGGTAGACGAAGGGGAAGGCCATGCCATCGTTGCACCCGGACTCCGCAGACAAGACGTCTCGCAAGTGCTTGGGGACTCGCTTGGCGAACTTGCCCTTACCGACGACCGAGGAAGCCAAAACGGGATCGGTAGCGGTGACGCAGGCTGCGACAACCAAGCTCTCGAGCCAGTTCAAGGGGTCAATCATCCACCAGATGAACAAGCTCGTGATCAGCCAGCCAAAGGTCATGACGGGAATGAGGAGAAAGGTGACCGATCTCCAATGCTTCTCCATGTAGAACTTTGGCAATTCGACACCGACGGCGAAACATTGTACGACAAGGACAATGCGGGAGAATTCAATGGTGACGAGGTCGACATTGCCCCAGCTTTTTGGGTCGATCAGATTGGCTGCGTGAGGGCCGAAGATGATGCCGCAGAGTGTCGCGACAGTGGCCTCGCCAATGTACATGCGCTCCTTGATGATGGAGGAGCAAAGCATGAAAAGAGTGGTAAAGCCGCCCAAGATGATGTACACCAAGTGCGGCTTGGTGATTGAAAGGTGATCCCACGCCATGGCGGCGCAATTGGGAGGGTATCTTTATTCGTAGAATGTAGCGAAAAAAGGGTTCGGTGGTGATTGCGGTTTGGTGGTTTGGAGTCGGAAAGGGTCGTCGCTCAGTCGCCAGCGCAAAAGGATGGTGCTGGACCTGGCGAAGGGCGCGAGAGTCCCCAGTCGATGGATCGCGTCCTAAGCGTGAGGGTGTCTGGATGCATTCACGGAAAAGTTGGCGCGCCAAGAGGCAGTCGGCCTGGGGGGGTTTCGTCGGAATCGAGTCAAAATGGGGCGCCGGTATCGAAGCTATGAGGTCACCTACGGGGCGTTGCCTCTGTCGTATGCGCGCGTCTCCTCGGGATCGAGGTCCGAATGGGAATTGGTCGAGTGTCGAAACGGTGAACGACAGTCGGGACAGTTGGGAGCAATCTCTGATCTATCGTGGACCCGAGATTTCTTAGCTGAACAGACGAAAGAAGGGACAAACGATAAAGACAGGATCGGGGTTCAAGGAAACTAAGTACTGCGAGCGCCCAGAGACGAGAGACAGGAAAAAGAAGTTGGCGTGCTGATAGCAAAGGTTGATCCATGCAAGAAAAAAAGCCAGGCCCCGCTTGGCGCATCAAGGTGGGGCCCTTGGGGGGGAAAGTGGGAGTTCCATGGAGGGCAGGCGAGGGGGTAGAGCATGAGAGGCGAATGGGATGGATTTCCAGCCCGTAGGTCGTTCTCTCAGAGGAGTTCCCAGCGTTCCCAGTGGTTCCTGCTCTCCCATCCCAACGGGCAGCGGTACTCGAGGAGTCCACGTCCTCCCGCGGCCGTTCCCCCGTCTCGTCCGAGGGAAGGGCGAGGAACACACTACGAGCTGCGAGGCGCAGGGCTTGCTGACGTGGTACCTCGGGAGTACCGACAGGTTACGCGGGACTTGGGTCCTTGCGATAGCACAGCGTACGCAGCAAATAGCACATCGCTAAAGGACATATGGGTGCTGCGCCTGCCAGACGCCTCCCAAGGTTCTTCTTCTGACTGCCATCCATCCATGGGGGCACGTCTGGACCTCACTGGCAGGCTGGCAGGCCATGGGAGAATAAGGTTGCCACGACGTCTCTGATTGTTGCTAGTTGAGCCCGACGGCAGGGAACACATCAGGTTGAGGTGAACCATACGCGCCATGTTCGTGCTAACCTTGATTCAGCTAAGGGCATCTAATCTTGGGCCGCGATAGGGACGCGGGAGGCATGCCGTGATACGAGTAAGACATTTCCAGGACCACGTTCCACGACCGCGGGCCAGATCGCTCTTGTTTTGATTCCATAACGAAGCACAACAGTAGCAGCTGTCGTTGACCGCAGGCTGCAGTCCACCGCAGAACACCCCAACACGCAGTTCCCATACGGCGTGTTGTTGCTCGGTTCCGGGTTGGTGAGATACGGCGCCCCCCATGTACGCCAAGCGGCTCAAAGCAAGGATGCACCCAATGCGACCGCCATTCTGGCCGCGTGGTGTCGTAATCCCCCCCGGGAGGCGGTAATCTCTCCTGTCGCACAGGAGGAAGAGAAAAAAAACTCCCAAGTCGCATTGGCAGGGTTTGCAAAGGGAGGAGACGAGGGCGCCATGGCCCGCGTTCTAGTTCCCTTGAGCCGCTTATCCGGGTGTTGTTGATTGACGTCCACCTTTGGGAGTGATAATTTTTTAGTGTGGCAGTTTGGCATGTCGTTGAAAAAAGCCAACCAAATCCCCGGATTTTCAGTCTCCGATCTAATCGGTGACATCTCGCAAATATCTGTAAGGGTCCTGTTGCTCTTATTCATCCTGCAGACTCGTCTCACGGTTGGCAAAAGCTTGAAAGGAGGCCGCTGGAGAATTCTGGCAGCTCTGGGCGAGTTTTGTGCGACTTCGATTGGCAGTCGAGGGCAACTCCAAGCATTGGCGACGTGATGTGTGCCTCGGCGTTGCTGGCCAAGCCCATTCGCGAGATCGCCAACTCCAGTTGAATGCTCGGCGCCCAGAACATAGCGGCGTCACCCTCCACTTTTGTGAGTCGCCGCGCTTGAGTCATGCTGTTACGGGGGTCTGTTACGATTTTTCGTCTGTCTTTTTTGTATTGGGGTCTCGAGATTGCGGGAGGTAGTTGTGGTGGTTGTGGCTGCCGTTGAGGTGTTGATATCAAGCTTGAAGTGTGAAATTTCTCGAAAGGTCTCGCAGCTTACCTATCTCAGGTGAGTGGTGGTTTTTTTTTTTTTTTTTTGGCTGGTGGTGTGAGTCCCTGTCGGCCGTCATCCATCAGAAGAGAGCGGCACCGGCGAGGTACTTCCGCGGTACTTCCGCACGGTTCCACCGCGACTGCCTCAGCCCCACCCACTCGAGACCCCTGCTCGTTTGTTCTTTCCCAGGCTTTGTTTTTTTCTGCTCCTCCGCCATCACCCGAAGAGCTGGATGGATGTTGTTGTTGTTGAAGCAGTTGCTGCTGGGACTGTCGTCAGTTGCCGCCGTTGAAAACCTTTTGCCAGAAACCTAAGGGGAAAAGAAAAACCCAGCATCTTGGCAACCACCCGCAAATAGCCCTTCGCAATCAATTCGAACATTGACTGACACCGAACAGCCCCCGCGCTCGACTGGGATCTCTCAACAATAACACTCTGCAATCTTTCCACGGCAACAAACAGAGTGAAACACCGCAGTCCCCGGATTTGCTGGGACACTCCCAGCGGCGCTGCACTCAATTGATTGCCCGCCCAGAACTCTCCAGTTATTCCTTTGTGTTCCGGCGGCAATTACTTCTGTCTCCTACGAGTCCCATCGACTCCCACCACCCTCCGCCCGCCTCCTCCGCTCTCCGCCAGTCGTCTCCATCAGCTCCGATATCTCCATCCCGTCTTCGCATCCGAATAAGCCCCTACGTAGCTTTCTGCGCAATCAACTTTCCACCGTCTCACCTTGAGATGGCCTCGCTTCAGATCGCTTGGTCCGAACATCCCATCCTCGTCCTCCTTCGAGAGCGAGCTAAGGAACGAGCACGAGCAGACCATCGAGACACACTCCACCACAGGGCAGAAACCAGAAACCGCCCATCTTATCCCGCAGCCATCCTCCGCTAGCACCCATGTCCAGGCTGCATCTCCTGCACCATTCGTACTGCGCATACCTGCTGCGTACTGCAGTCTGCAATCCACCCTTTAAGAGTTCCCTGCTACGCGCTCCGTATCGCGCAACCCCCCCGGAAAAGAGCGACCCTAAACGGCTCACATGCGCCTCTACGTCACCAATCCTGCTCACTTCATTCGCCCACAGCTCAAGGCCAAGAGTCTAACTCAACGACCACTGATGGATCTGCTCGTCACGCCGCATACAATGACCGGTCGATGCATCGCTAAACATACCTGGGATTGCCAATCTTTCCCCGACAAGCTCGTCTTCCCCATCTCTACGCCAGCGCCCGTTGAAGTTCCCCGGATAACCCGCAACAGAAAAAAAAAAAGGGCTCAAGCTGATCATACGCGCTTCGCTCCATTTGCAACCGATCACCTTCCTGTTTGACTGACCGACCATTTGCAGTCACTTCACACTGACAAGAAGCAGCAATCATGACAGAGGTGTCGACATTGACGCAGCGCCAGTAGAGGGAGCTGTTGCACAGTCATCGTTTATGCGCGTCTACTGCTGACGAGTTCGCCCGTTTGCGCTTTGATTTCGTCCAACTCTTTCAAACGTGGATTTGCTCGGCTGTGTCACCATGCCTAGCACCGCAGACATACGCCAAAGGTCTCGGCACACTGCGTCGGTTGGGCGAGCGCCACTGATCTACGGCCCCGACCAGCTCGCCCACGCCGAGCCGGTCTCGCGGTTCACACTTCGGCCATGTTCCGCATCTCGCTGAAAATGGGCTCGTCTGATACTCAGCCTGGATGACACTGAACTCCAGCAGCACCATCAGCCCGCAACTTGACATCTTGATAGCCGCACTCACGCGAGAATTGACCTATCTTCTCGGCTTATTGTCCTCTCCTACTCATTTCGGCCCGCTGCGGATAGTGGATCACAGAAACGGTAAGCCGCCGGGCCCGCGGAGATCGTCTAGCCCTCATCCTCCACACCGGCCCACAACCGCAAAATCATACCGAATATAATCCCTGCTTCGCCCCCCAACCAGCATCTCGGGTTTCCGAGACAATATCTCATCACATGCGCCGATGGTTTAGTGGTAAAATTCTCCGTTGCCATCAAGCAGCGTCGGGGAGCCGGGGGTTCGATTCCCCCTCGGCGCATCTTTTTGCTCTTGACGTGACTCGATGCTGTGATGCCTCTTTTTGGAGCCAGCCAAACGCTCTCTACGGTTCCGGAGACTGCAGCAGCAACATCATGCTTATGTTTTGAGTAGTGAATCAAGGTTGATGGTGATCTTGCAGTCTGCTCTATTCATAATACGTGATTGCCCTAGTCAACCTGGTTCTTACGGGCATGGCATACGCAGTCACAACTGACTGCGCAATCGCAAAGCTCCGGGTTTTGACTCTCCCATGGAAACAACCAAGCCTTAACACAATATAACTCACTACTTCCATAACCATGTGTTCTACATATATAAAAGGAGACGCGGACTTGCGGGCCATGTACATCTTCCTCCAAATAGCTCCAGACCAAAACGCCTCACCACACTCTCATTATACTTCAACAACAATCCCACTCTGACCGACAGCAGCCGCCGCCCAAAATGGACTCCCAGAACCCGGATTACAGGAGCATGTCTCCCGACTCCTTCAGCCGTCTCAGTATCCCAGTGCACGTCGTCGTCCTCGAGTGCCGCTGGCAATGCTGCCAGTGCGGCTTCAGCAGGAATCCAATGCCGGCTCAGACGTATCTCATCATGGCATGTCTGGCGCGCAGCCCGCGGCCGTGTCCGCAACGGCTGAGGGGTGGGCAATGGGTGGCCCACGAGGGGCCTTCGAGATGTGATAGGATTCTCGTGCCGGCACATCCGCTAGGCTTAAGAAATGGACAGGGTGAGGACGAGGACGATGAAGAGGCGTAGGTGGGTTGATGACTGGTCTTGAGATGTAGAGTAGAAAGTGGGATGTACGTAGACGGAGTAGTAGCGTCCATAGTTTCTTAATAGAGTCTTCAAGGTGAGGGAAGTCTCCTGAATGCGTCGCGCATCCGCGTATGAAGAGTATAGTGAACTGTGCACTCTTGATTTATTGGTTTATTGCTTCGATGTAGGGCGGGCAGGATTTTCCACTGCTTGGGAGAATCGGGTTCTCGGCAAACTTGAAAGACTCCTTTAGAAAACAGCCCATAAAGCGTAACGAATGGTGTTTCTCGCTGATTATGAGCGCTCCTTGGGTGAGAATAGTTGCAGGCTGGTGGAGGGCAAGGGATGATGGCTTGGTCTGAGAAGACGGTCAAAGTGGGCTGATTTTCCAGACGCAGGGTTCTACTGCGTATTTTCGTACTGAAGAGCACTTTCCCTTCCTTGCGGTGTTGTGAATCACTTTCGTCGTATATTTATCAGCCATCTGATTCGCCTTGGTGGTGGTCATAATGGTCATACGGCACCTGCCATGTGTCTCTGTCCTTTGATAAACTACAACCCCATGCGTGAATCTTGAGAACTTCTGCCAGAAAAGAGTCACAGCAGAAGAGGCTCCCATTTCCTTTGGGCCTATCAAAACTGCCTTGCACCACGCTTTGTTTGGCAACAGTACGTACTACGAGCTGCTTTACAGCACGAAATCTGCCCGTGGCAAACCCCAAGCTGTCCAGAAGCAGCGAATCACCACATCTCACGTTACACATCGTACTCGCATGCCATAATTCACTTAATGGGGTACGATGAGGCCGAATCGAGGCTCGATAGGGACGATTCAGAGCACATTGACGATGGTTTTGCCTATATATGCCCTCATGGTCTGCAGGAATTGCCTCTCTCTTGCTCTGAACCATCATCAAACAAGCTCAGTATTCAAGAGATACAGCCAAGACAAGTTACAATAGTAGCCACCTACGTTATTGAACTATCAAGAACTTTCAAATCCTATCTACCTTCATACACCTCAACAACATGAACAGAAACACGAGCGACGGTGTGGAAATGTCCCAGGGCGACCTCAGAGACATGGGACAGCTTCGCAGCAGCCAGAGACGTCATTGCCGTTGGATCTGTTGTCACTGCAGACACTTGAACAGATACGACGAGTCGCTCTGTCGAGGTTCCAACTGCGCGGGAAGAACACGGGAAGGCGTGGTGCATGAGAGTTGCAAGGACTGCCGCATTACAATGCCCTGGCATGTTTGGAGAGAGGTGGATGGCCACAGCCAGTAGTGTCGGTCTGGTAACCTGATTATCGGAGAAGTACGCCTCTCAAGTTCAATAGTAGTCTAGTTCTAGTAGTTAAATCAAGATGCGGCGGCTAGCCATAAGGATGAAGACCCGGAAAGCAGTGTCGCTGAAGCCGAAGCCCTTGGGAAGCGGCTCGCTCAGCGTTCCGACGAGGAGATCCACGGCCTCGATGTCGCCGTTGTAGACGCCCTCAAGCTCGGAAGCCAGCTTGCGATCACCGCCAGTCAGCTCAATGAAGCTTCGTGCCGCTGGCATGTGGAAGAGGCGGCGGAAGGCGTTGTAGCGAGGCACGCCGCGCTCGCGGTCGCGCAGGATGTCGACGGTGCCCATGTCCAGGTGTCTGCCTTCGGGGAACTCCTCGTCAGCCGGGATGTGCAGGTCTCTCAGGAAGTTCGGCATGTTGTGGGCGCGGATGGCTCCCGGGTAGTTGACTCCGAACGAGTAGAAGACGTCTGCGAAGTTGAGTCCCAGCCCTGACGCGAAGCCCTTCTCGTTGAGGGGCTTGCGGGCCGATTCGAAGGCGACCTCTTTCATCGGAAGAGTCCCTTCATGCTGTCCGTTTTTGACATTGAAAAACGCGATGTTGTCAGAGATCAGCGGGTGGAGGCGGTAGACAGACACGAACTCCTCTGTGAGGGAGTAGGGCACGTTGTCGTGGTCCACATCTGAGCCTGGGATGCCAGAGACTACCTCGAGCTTGTTGTCGAAGATTCGCCCGAACACCTTCCAGAGCTATAGAATTTGTTAGCACTTTGTATGGAATCGAGAATACCTTCATCTGAATACATACCTTCTCCCCAGCGAGTCCCCACCAGTTAGCACTCATACCAACCTGCAGGGCCGGATGCTGCAAGATTCCAGGAGTCCACTCAACTGTGTGGATCTTCGCCATGAGAGCGCAATTGACCAGTCTAGCAGTGTCAAAAATCTGATCACTGGTCCAAGTAGGGTTCGAGAGCTCAAGCTGCTTAGCAATGGCATTGTGCTCCAGAGCAAACAGTGTGTGCAGGAGCTCGAGACCGATCCACCAGTTCTGATGGAACCCCGTCTTGGGAATGCCGTCTTGGCCACGAGGCAAGAACTGCGCACCCTGCACACCGTCAACGGCGAGCTGACCTCGCGAGCCCTCCCTCTCGCACTGCGCCCTGAGCTCCTGAGTTTCTTTCTCAGTGGACCCGTAGATCTGAGAGCCATCCCACCAGTGCGTGCACTCGTTCTCGTAAGCAGGCGGCGCCTCGTCGTCTCCCCGAAGGTGTTCAGCCTTCTTCGTGCGGTATATCCTCATTTTTCTCTCGGGCCACGTATCACCCTTGGCAAGAGGAACGTCCCAAGAGTTGGCGGTATCGTTGAAGTGCTATGCCCAGTCATGCACCTGGAACTGAATCCATGCAGCGGCAAGCAAGTTGACGATGGTAGCCAGCTTGAAGCCGTTGTCGGGTCTCGCAAGGATCTTCTCAGAGATCAATCTCGGGTTGGGTGTAAGCAGCTCCTTGTGAGAAGGGGCCGTGGTGTGCTTCCTTGGCACGTTGCGCCCGAATCTCATGCCTCTGCAGCCCATTTTGGGGCCACTGAGATCGTTGAACTTGCCATCTGAGTGCCTGGAGCTGATGTATTTGGTATCCTCAAGAGGGCAGGTTTTCGGGTTTCCTTGGTGATCGCGGCCGTCGGATGGATAAGTGTCGTACAGATTCTGGTCCCTCAGCTCAAAGCGCAGAGCGAGCAGGTTGAAGACACTGAGCCACTTTGGGAGCTTATGCCAATGCACAAAGAAGTTGACGATTTTCCAGAAGGCAATGTAAAGACGTTTGAAAAGGGGAACAAGAACATGGTCGAATAGGGCTTTGAACCACATGCCCAAAACTTGCATGGTTGTGCTGGAGGCCTCGAGGGTCCCCTCAATGATTGCGGACGTCATCTTACTCGACCAGTGAAGAAATGACTTGATTTGGGGACAGGACACTGTCAATCAAGGGGAAGCGTATGCGTTTTATCTGCCATCCGTATGTGCTGACATGCAGATGGTAAGATGGTGTCACTAGAACGGCTGTGCTTTCCCTTCAGGCACGTAGGCATCCCTCACATATCTTCATCGACTGATGTCTCCTAAGATACGTATGCCACTGCATCTTTTAAGCGCCACAATTTCAGGTGATGCAGTCGCAAGAATTTGCAAGCCGCAAGTCTGACACGATAGGGGGGCTGCACATCCAAGGCAGCCTGGATGACGGGCTGAAAAGAAGAAAAGCTCACGGCAGCATGCATCGGGCTTATAGTCATAAACGGTTGTGAAACTTCCCAGAATTTCTCATCGAAAATTCCGCATTGATTGGTCCGTTTGAGTGTTCCTTGTTTCAATCTCACCGAGAATTTACGACGTGCGAGCTTGGTCTGGGACATGTCAGCCCTGAAGCGGGGAACCTTTGGGGTCCCCGTCCGAAACATGCCCAATCCTCATAGATTGAAGCCTGCTTACCTCGCCTCTGCCCTGTGTGTGGCTAGCTGAACGTGCAGGGCTGGCCGCAAGACGGAGCTCGAGGTTCTAGCTTGGCCCTCAGCCTCAAAACACATTCCAATGGCCCCGGATTTCCAGGACAAACTACGCGTGAGGCTGAGAGCTGACATCACACTTCCACTTCAGTCTCTTGTTGATGACAGAGACGGAATGAACGGCACGTAAAAAGGGGAAGTGAGTCTGGGAAGATCGATGCACATATCTGTCATGTTCTGTCTACGAGCATGCACACAAGCACGGCCCTGCTGGTCTCTTATACATCAGGGATTTTGTGTATGAATTAAACTTGCGTAAACCTTGGGATGTGATTGTCACATTTGTTATCGATGTGACCGGTGTTGTGCTCAAAATTTCTTCATCGTAAGACTTCGGAGTGTGACCTCGTTGCAAATTACAAAGCATTCTTTCAAATGCACAGGAACGTTCTGTTTAGTCACACTTTAAGATCGAGCATGAGCAAAGGACAGATCCGATGGAGGTTCGGGCACGTGAGGGACATGATGAATTATCATTAGACAGTTAGACTGGAACATATCCGTAAGTCATAAGCTATTTAACCATCCTCTTGCCCGCGTTGGAAACAAGGGTTTTCCAAAGGCCGAGCCGTGGAATCTCTTTTTGCCCATGCACAGCCTTTGCAAGCTGGAAACTCCAGTAGAATAAACCCCATTCAACCCGGTTCCTGCTCCCGAGAGCTTAAGAGCAGCATTACCCGCCACGGCATGTTTTCGCTTAAACGAAGTTGCCGCCGCCCTGACAGCGAGAAAGCGGGCGGTGGACACCCGGCTTTTCACAAGGGGTGATTGCTCCTCTGATCCACTTGACTCCGCCGTAGCTTCCCTCCTCCTAGTTCTCAAGTCAGTTTCTATACGCAAAAGTTGAGAAAACGTGGGTCATACATAAGCATCGGACATGAACGTTCCGATTTGTGTTTGCTTTCCAAGGCAGCCTCTCATGACACGGCCGTATCTTCTGGTCTTGAAAGGGTTGTTGACCATGACACCGGTGTGGTGAGCGGATACGGTTCCCCTGACCATGATGGCCTGAGCAGTGGCCCAGGATCGGGAGCCAGAAACGCCAAAGTTGGATGTCAAGTATCCGGTGACAATGGTCGGGCTGAAACCGCCGGTGATGGTGAGAGTATCAGTGACCGTGTAAGTCGATGTGAGACTGATGTCAATAGGGTTGCCACCAGCAATCGATACAGGGCTCATCTGGAGATCCCAGTCGTAGAACCTGTCGGTTCTGGTGATGACGACGGCAGTGGTCATATCGCAGCTTGCTTGACGGGCGTCAAGCTGCTTGAGCTCCTCCTCCGTGGGCTCCTCGAAGTCCAGAAGCGAACGGTCGATGTCAGGGGGGGAGGACAGAATGCCGCTGGTTGACAGCATCGCCGAGTAAGAATCCTTGTCCACAACCTCCACTACAACGATAAGATTAGCCTATCGTATTCACGATACGCGGGACGCCTGTTTTCTGCCCAGTGTAGCTCGTTGCAAAGGACCGCCAAGACACAGTTCATGCCAAGGACTCGCTTCTTCTAAGAGCACGGGGAATGGCTGGGGAAATGGTAGGCGATGATGGATTCCTCCACTTACTGTGCTCGTGGCCGACAAGGAGAACTTCTCCGGGGAAGAGGCCGCGCTCGGGGTCGAACTTGGTGCCGTTGGTGGTCCGAGGGACAAAAACCGGAGAAGCGGCGGCGACTGCCGCAAGGCAGACGGTGACGAAGCGAGAAGCCATTTTGATGAACCGAAGACGACAGGAGACTTGGGGAGCAATGAGAGGTGTGGTGAGGGCAAGTGTGTTGCAAAATTCTTGGGATATGTGAACGACTTTATACTATCAAATCGTCATCCTTAGTGGTTTTCTTATCTCAGCTGCCGGTCAAAAGTCTCAACTCACGCGCAAGTCGACTTGCCGCAGTGGTTCATCCACGCCTTACGCCTTTGGAAGCATGACCACTCACCGCTGCCCTTGACCCGAGCAAATCCGCGCGAATTATTCAGATTATCAGATCAAATGGCTTCCGAGTCATTGCCTTACCCCGTACTTCGTATGGCAGGAGCCGCAGTGGAACTACGCCAAGATGAAGCCATCCAGGTGATGTCTCCACGTCCGACGGTTAGCCAAACTCAATTAAATAGACCAATTTGGTGACGATTGAAAGAGACTAGTTACAAAGACCTTGTCCCCAAGTTAAGCTTAATTCTACACCGTTCCATTCCTGCAGATCTGTCTGTGTTAGATTCGCAAAACTCGCATGTACCTCGCGGCCCACGACTTACCCACCAAAGACATATTCTGAGTCAGTGACCTTATTATACCGGGCAGAAAACCACAATACCAAGCCTTTCAATGATCCATATTACGAGATAAACAGCTCTTCTCGACTCAGTCCTGGAGTCCTCAGTTTCCACAGATTTTCGCAGGTGCTTCCCAAAGAACAGTGCGTGACCAATACCCATTGCTCAGACGGTTCCCGCCAAGTGGATAGATATCGCCGACATTCCGAAGACGCCTGCGCCGAGATGGCCTCTGAAGATTTTGCACGTTTGATAGATAGTAAATTGAGTCATGTTTTGAACCTCTTCATGGGATTTTCTGTGGTGAATTCAGAGTGAGCGCCGGCGCTTGACTGGATTCGAGTAAGACCAGCCCCCGAGCAGCATGGCTCAAGACTATTGCCCCCGCAACACGTATCACGCGAAGGGAAAGGATTATCACATCATTCGGTCTGAAAGCAGGGCGAAAGGCTGGAAAGGCCATCTCGGAGATGAGATCCTATCACAGGTGGAGGGGTCCCAGACCTCAGCCATCTATGTTCTCACTGCAGTTGAGCACATGAGAGCATATATAGTGTTACCTCACAGATCTCAAGGCTGGCATGTCCAGTCGCAGATCAACACTCAAAATCAACGAGGCATATCCACGCATCAAAGTTCTTTCCCGTTCAACTTCCAACAAACATGAAGATCAGCACCTCTGCCCTCGTCGTGGCTCTCGCCGTTAGGTAGGTTGAACCTTCATTCCACCCATGTCTACATCTCAATCTTCGGGTGACTTGGGAGGGAATACCTTAGATGCTGACCAGAAATCTCTCTGCAGCGTCGAAGCCAAACTTCACAACTTCGGTGCCTGCGTGCGTAACCGTATTGAGCAGCCCATTGGTGGCACTGGTTGGAGCGTCAGCTACAGCTGGTCTAAGAAGTACGAGATTATGCCCGAGGCAACCAAGTGCGCTTGCGACTACTACCGTCGCCGCAACACGGGCAACAAGCAGTGGGATCAGTGCCCCGACTGCCACATGGTAAGCTCGTGACTCCGTTTTCGGAATCCGGCGCACTCGGAACTTGACTAATTCTGAGCCTCAGGACGGAGACGCTTGCAGATCCGATGGCTGGCACATTGGAGGTGACGAGGTAAGTCAGATGCCTGGCTGATTATGCGCATATGTACAAACTAACAAATTCATGATTCCAGCTGAACCACTACTGCACCAAGTACTGTGGCGCTCCTCAATCTGAGGGAAGCAACAGCTAGAGAACCAGTGTTTGGGACAGACCGTGTTTGAAAAGAATGATGAATGAGAAACCCGTCTAGATACCACATACCGTTTAATACTTGAGGTTACATCTCGCCTCTTCATCTAGTAACAATACTGTATGATAATAACCTGATTCTGGGAACAGACCGGTGTGTATTCCTCACAAATAATTAGTACAGTGATTTAAACATACTTTCAGCTTGAAAGCACCTGTCCCTGAAGATTTCGACTCGAAATGCGATAGGGTTGGGCTGATTGCATTATTTACTCATAGGCATGTGTTATCTGAGTCGGCAACCACTATGAACCACCCAAATCGGCCAAAACGTACCAAGGGGTATTGGCTGGAATATTAACAGTAAGGAAAAAGAGCCTACCTTTGGAAACAGAATGATCTCTGAGACGTCATGGAACACTCATGCTGGAGAAAACGAGGTTGGAAAACGCGCGTCGCCTAGCATATTCCTACCGTGGCATATAGTGGGGCGGGCTCATGTTCCCAAGATGGAAGTTGTTGCGCCCAACAGCACCAACCAACAGCAGAAGGGATAAATAATAACTGCTGATGAAGCTGATATGTGACGTAAAAAGCGGGGGGTCGTGGGATAACATTCACCGCTCAAAGAGGGGTCAGCTAGTGCTCTCTTTCCTCTCTCCAACCTCAGCATATTCAACCGTACAACCATCAATCTGCAACAAAAACGAACGAAAATGACCACGCAACAGCAAGATGAGCCACCAATTCTCCCTGAAGAAGCTGTAGCAGATGATTCCGCCTCAATTGGAGGCTCCTCAACGAGTGAATCTCAAGCCTCTCTGAGATCAAGCATCCTGGATTATCGCCGGGAGAACGGACGAACATATCACCGCATGAGTGACGGGAAATATGCTTTCCCGAACGATGCCCGAGAGCAGGAGCGACTGGACACAGTCAACTACGTTTGGATGTTGACTCTGGACGGAGACTTTTGCTTGTGTCCGAAAAATGATATCAGCGCCAAACGGGTTCTCGACATCGGCACAGGTACGGGCGTTTGGGCCCTCGACTACGCTGATGCCCACCCAGAGACATCAGTTCAAGGCGTTGACCTCAGTCCCATCCAATCAACCTACGTGCCTCCTAACTGCTACTTTGAGGTTGACGACCTCGAAAAGGAATGGACGTGGTCGACACCCTTCGATTTCATCTTCTGTCGCGATATGAACGGCAGCTTTGCTGATTGGGAGGGCGTCATTGCTCAAGCATACAAAAATTTGGAACCAGGCGGCTACCTCGAGATTCAAGACAGCATCTGGCCACCCGTCTGTGACGATGGCACCCTCAAAGAAGACTCTGCCCTGTACAAGTGGAGCCACCTCTTGGTCGAAGCCTGCGACATAATTAGACGACCAATCAACCAGACGAACAAAAGACCTGCTATGATGGAAGCCGCAGGCTTTGAGGAGATCAAAACCACGCGTGTTAGATTTCCAATTTCCCCTTGGCCGAAGGACCAGAAGCTCAAGGAGGTTGGCACTGCCAACCAGGTACAGCTTGTTCATGGTCTCGAGGCGCTTACTCTTGGCCTATTCACTCGCGTCCTGGACTGGACTAAAGAAGAGGCGATGGTCATGTGTCTCGAGGTGCGCAAGGATCTTAAGAATCTCAAAATTCATGCTTACTGGAATGGTTATGTCGTTTACGGTCGTAAGCCGCTAAGCTCCGAGGATAAATAGTTGACACTGCAGCTTCTTTCTTCTGCCAAAGAAAGTCTCCTGCAGGTCATACATATATAGTCTCAGACAATCGAGACAATTTAGCATTCTGTACTCTCGAAGTGTGATCATTCTGAGATTAGCATGCAGCACGCCAAATTCGATGTAAATATGGGTATCATTCAAGTCATCTTTCCACTCTAGGGATGATTGAGGTAGTTACAGCACCACAGCCATAGTAGAAAACCTTGCAGTACCATGTTGCACGAACGGATTCGAGCCGGCACACACTATGCGGATAATTGAAAGAGCTGAGGTTTTCATGGCGGTCAAGAGATGAACAGAAAGTCTCAACAATTTTGTTTAGATTTTGTCACGCTAATTGCTCGTATGCGCCACGGAAAGATTATCATACAGCGCACCGGTACGAAACACACGAACTCCGCTTGTTCCCTTCGTGCTTACTGACACCGTGTAAGTGAGTTTCGATATAGACATATCGTCCACAAACACTTTAACCTCCTTGTTAATCGCCGTAACGCGCAAGTGATATTTTGTTCCCGCATTGATGTCCAGGTCAGCAGATGCAAGCTGGAGCCAGTTCTGGTTCATCTGTCCTAGGACAACTGCCCCGGATGCGTCTACAGCTGCATAAAAGCCGGTGACGTTGTCAATACCTGCTGAAGCGCTAGTAACTCCGAAGAGAACGCCCGCGTCACCCGAGTCGCGGGCGGTTGAGTTGACGTCTGGGTCAACGAGGGTGATGTCGATGTCGAAAACGAAATCTTCAAATCCCGTATTCAGAAGGGCCTTGCCGCTCCAGGCCGACGTCTTTTCCGCGTTCAACTGGTTATCCTTGACTGAAAACTTTCCCTCAAATGCGGTATTCCATCCAATAAGATTTCCATCACTAAAATTGTCCTTGACAAGCATGTTGACCTGCTTAATTTTGCCGTTCTCGTCGAAATACATGCGGTCGTAAGCGAGTTGCCGGTGGTTGCCGTCAGTGTCTCCCAGTGGTCGGCGGTGGTAGAAGATGTACCAGATGTCGGTTCCAGGGATATTGATCACAGCATTGTGACCAGATCCCGTGGCTACGGCTGCGTCTTGCTGGAGGATCTTTGCTTCGCGGTTGAAAGGCCCGAGGGGAGAGTCTGAGATGGCGTACGATACGGAGTAGTCAGGCCCGGTCCATCCTCCTTCAGACCACATCAAATAGTACTTTTCATTCCGTTTGAACATCAATGATCCCTCAACGTAGTTTTCGGGGGTAATCTCCTTGAACTGGGTGGCGTCGGAGAAGTTCCCTATGCTGATCATGTCGGAGTTCAGCTTGGCGACGTTGGCGTGTCCGTGCCCCCCGTAGTAAATGTAAGCCTGGCCGTCGTCATCGATGAAGACGTCTTGGTCGATCGGTTGTGCGCCGTTGTGATATTCGCCGATGAGGGGCTTGCCGATGGCGTCTTTGTAAGGGCCCTCAGGCTTGTCCGCCACCGCGACGCCGATGCCACCCACGTTATTCTCGCCTTCTTGAATGTCGTTTGCGCCGAAGTAGATGTAATACTTTCCATTGCGCTCAATGGTGGCAGGTGCCCACATAGCCTCTTGAGCCCATGATACATCAGCCTTTGTCAAGATATTCGAGTGCTTCGTCCAGTGCGCGAGATCTTTGGAGGAGAACGCATCAAGGTACGTTTGCTCCTCGTATGCGTATGATGATGTCGGGTAAACCCAGTACTCGTTATTGTAGACAGCTGTGTCTGGGTCGGCGTACCATCCGTCCACAAACGGATTGCCAGCCTCTGATGTGGTGTAATCCGGGATCGATCGTCCCATCCGGGCGGCGTACGCACCGCTTGAGAGTGTCATCGCGGTGAAGAGCGTCGTCAAGTTGGTGAGAATATTCATCTTGAACGTGGTGTGGGCTCCCCCTCCCATACAGTACCTTATGTTGCACTCACTCGTCGTCGGATGTTTGCGGGGGTGGCTTGAAAGGGACAAAGTTTGTGTTCAACAGACGAATCTTATGTCGTTTTGGCCCAATGCATGTGAGTCGCAGACCACCCGGCCGTTGCTGGGAATGTCGCGTTCTTAAACATTGTGAGACCAATGCACTAAACGACCATCATGAACTAGTGCTGTTCTGATCAGCGAACGAAGGACGGCAGAAGGATTTTAGCGTTCGTTCCAATGCTACCGTTTCCTTCTCCTTCATAGGTAATCCTGCTGCCTAGACCCTACGGCAGGGCTTCCTGCTATTGACCACTTCAAGTCATAAAGTCAAGGTCTCAGGTCTATTTCGGGCCCATGCTTTTTTCTCACAGCGCGACATGGCCGAGACCAATGGAGAATTTGAATTTTATGCATGAAAGCGGCGCGGTCCTGGCGACTTTAAGCTTGTTCTGAGGGAGGTGCGGGTGCTCGATCATACAGCGACGGGATGCTTTTCTAGAAGAGGGAAAACCAAGTTGAAACCTTACAGCGAAAACAATTGGGAAATAACTTCGGACATCGAAATTCGGGGTTTTGGATGCAAGTTTCCCGCGAATTTATCACCGTTGGCCTTTGTGCCAGAGGGATGATAGGAAGCCACACTTGATCCATCTCAGACTTGGTCAGACATTAGCACTTAGGAGAGATCGCAGGGGCTGCTATGACATCATGAAGGACCGCCTTCGAGACACCCGATCAATGACTTGGGTTCAATTGGAATAAGATTCAACTTCATCCCCCTTGAAGCAGCAATCCACTGGATATGAAGGACACGATCAATGCGCTTTGCGAAAGGCAGGCGAATGAAGCAATTTGCGAGTAGAATTGAGGTCACTGAAGAGGAACTAACTTCACTTCCTTCCGGGAGAAATTCCTCACGTGGGTGCGTTTCGGCTCTTGAACCCCTCTCCCAAATGCATCAAATTGCGACGACAGCGTTGCTCCATTCCCCATTTCCTTCTTGGAGTCAAAGTCTTCGTCCCTCCCTTTCCACGCTTGCAACGCCAGGTCGTTTTTGTCTGCATATCCTCTAGAACCAAGGCTCCTGTCTATCTCGATCAGTTCCATCTCTGATCTCGACCGCCTTATCCCCGCCGTTTGTGGCCTCGTCATCGTCCGTACTGATGCCTCACCCAGCCGACGAAGCATCGACTCCTCGTCGCTGATGAAGCGAGCCGGCGGCGGCTTGTAGTCGCGGAACAGCGCCCGAAGGATGGGTATTGACGCGGCGATGATGGTGACGGCACTCTCTGCAGCGCCCCATATTACAAGCTCGACTGTATCAATGATGTCGAAGGCCCCGATGGCCGTAATCGTCTTGATTTTGATAAATGAAACAATGCCAGCGCTAAAGCACATATGTCAGTGGTTAGCATGCGCAGACGCTAGGTCTAGAAATGCTGAATGCTCACAAGACACCCATGCTCATCGCGAGCGAAACACCGAACTTCTCCTTCTTCGTCATAGAGAGGCCCCAGATTATCTTCCACGGAAGAATTGCAAGCACAATGTCCATGGCGCCAGAGTATGATGCCGTGAACGTGTTGTAGTTCATTGGTATACTCTTGTCCCAACACGTCCCGGGGGTCGAAGCCGTCCTCCATGTCTTTTCGACAGGCGTGCATTGGATCCAGGTAAAGAGCACGTTGAGGCCAAGCGCGATGTTGACTGAGATCATGATGAACCAGATCAAATACTTCATCCACCGCTCATTCGCAATGCGCAGCAGCGTCAATGCGAAAGACGTCTTGCTCCAGCATGCCGCAATGATGGAGAAGGAACCAGACAGATTGGCGTGGAGGAGAAGCCAAGACCAGTTGCCTGGCGTGATGTCCCAATTATGCTTGCCAAAGTCGTATGACACGTCGATCGAGATGAAGACGCCGAACGTTATGTATGCAAGCTTGTAGGTGTCAGTTGCGATGATGCCAGGACACGGCGCGAAAACAATCTCACCAAAGCTGCTATCATGTAGTAGTCATCATACCATAAACCTCGTTGTCGCGTTAACTTGCAGTAAAGTCGTAATCCCATGAAGCCCCCAGCTATGGCCCCAAGCCCCCAGATAATCGCAAGCATCCACGGGCCATAGTCATCGTGAGGAAGTTCGTCAAAAGGAACGTCGTCCATGCGGGCTGAGCACCGTCATCTGGCGGGAGAGAAGAGAGCGAGCTCTGCGGTCGCTGCAGAACTTTTTTTTTTTCGTTTTTCGCGGCGCCTGCCAGGGGGACAGGACAAGGTAACAATAAACGGTCGCAGAGACCTAAAGATCTCCGTCGACCCATATCGCTCTTCCCCCAGACGGCAATGCCTGGCTATAAAAGAAGCCCGTCATCTTTCATGTCCGATCTGGCCCAGCCCGAGTCCAGGTCCAGGCTTCCATGTCTCCGCACATCACCCGAGAAAGGAGTTCGGATGGTAGCCCAAACACCACCACGACAGAACGTGGTTCGTGAATATGAGCGTGATCCTCCCCGAAGAGAACATGTCGAGCGGGAGGGACACCCTGTGAGTCGCATCCGCCGCCCTGCGATTGGAAGAAGAAGGGGTTCCCCTGGCTGTCGAAACCAGGAAGCGAGATGAAAATGGCGGTTCAGCGTATCATTCCCCGCATTCTACCCGGCCCTAGGCGGTCAAAGCGCACTTTGACGGACGGCGTTGGCGGATCGGGGCCTCCCGCAATTGTGTCAACCACCGCAGCGACTCCCATGCGAAGACGATCAATCAATCGTGGTGTTGCAACGTGAGACCAGGATGCTCACGCGGAGATGAATGATGGTTCGGAAGAGGCATCATGGAAATGAAGCGGCGTTCTCGATACGCGGTTGGGCGACCGAGCCGTTGCCACGGCCTCTGTGCCGCCCAATAGTCCATGACGGATCATATCATGGCACCCTGGGCATCGGCCTGACTCCAGACCACCAAGCTCGGACATATGAACACCTTTCAGCATCCAAGGACTTTCTGCATCTGGCGCAAAGGATGCACTCCAGGCGGGGAAATGGCTCTTCTTGAGCTCGTCAAAGTTTGGGTCGATTTCATAGTGGTGGAGCCATGCCGGGCTGAGTTCCCAAATGGAGGAGAGTTGGTGTGTGACATCCCTGGAGACTCAGCGCCGGTTGCTATTCTTGCGCGTGGACAATTTACAAAAGTCCGAAGTCTAATGCGGATTGGAGGCGAACGTCGTATTCCTCTTAAAAAGGCTGAATCAGACGCAATAATTCTTTCCGATGCGTCGGCGACTTCTGGTCCTTGGCCGCATACGGCAATGCACGGCGCTCAAGTCAGAATCGCTCCCGTCTCTGCGGGAGGCTGGTGAGAGCTCCAGACGAGACCATCCGAGATTTCAATCTGGACTGAGAGCCGTGATGTCTGCGAGCATGTGAGAGAAAACGAAAGCGACGTCGACATTGTACTGTCAAGATTCCTACGAGGAAGTCCTGCTGTCTTTGCATTCCTGGAATGTGGATCAGGGTGCCGGGACCGGCGAAGATGGGAAGCCCCCGACACATGAAATGCCGCCCTCGCGGGACTTTTCTTGGCTTGGGTAGCCCTAAAACCAACCCATGATATTGACACAAGCTTCATGTGACCCACAAGTTGCCTTCGGAATTCGCGATCGAATCCATAACTTCAAACAACGGTAGAGGGTCCGGGATCGTCTTGTATCGGTGGATGCTGCGGGTCCTAGATAAGAGACGCAAGGACGCCCTTGAAAGGGGCGAGGAAAGGGGCTCTTCCGACACGTGCATGGTTCAAGATTCGCGATTGCTCTAGATCTTCAGCTAAAGATATCGGAATCTCATAGGAACTTCAGCAGTTCCGCAGCAGAGCTTTTGCTCAGATTGTCCACAGCTTTGAGTATGTTCTCAGCTCGCTGTTGGTCGTACACCGGCTGGACCAGACCCCAGAACTTGTCCCTGACATTCTCCCTCGAGAATGGGTGCTCGACCTCGCCTAGCGGGTACACTAGAGCCTCCTCCCTGGCAGCTCCGCCATCGACACCCTGGAACGACATCCTTACCTCGAACTCTTCCTTGAAGCTGTCATCGGTCACAACCTCCACTCGATCGCAAAGCTCCGCCACCTTCTTGTCCTTCATCTTCTCGGAATCATAGACGCTCCATCCCGCCTCACTCCCAAACAACCAGGCCACGGCGACTTGATAGTACATGCTGAACTGGGCATCAACAATGGTCTCGGGATGCAACTTATTCGGACTCGGCCGCCCGATGATATCATAGCCAGAGGGATTCACCCAGACCGTAATCTTCTGCGGAAGCTCTCCAGACTTGGCTTCAGCCGCAACCCTTGCCGTGATCTCGATTGCGGTGTGCGTGAAGCGGCAGGCAGGGAAGGGCTTCATCGCCGTCGCGGCGAACAGCCATTCGGATCCCAGGTCCTCCGTCAGACCAGCGGCTTCGCTCTTCGTCGAATACGCCTGCAAGAAGCCCCATTTCCCCTCAATCGCATGCGACGCGCCAGTGACACCCGCCTCCGCAAGGGCAACACAAAGAAACGCATCGTGGGCCGCGAATCCGGGATGGAGTCTCTTGTTCCACGACCCGTTGTCAAGGAACTGCATCGAACCCGCGGCCTTGGAACCGGCTAGCCCGAAAGCGTTGTAGACCTGCTCACCCGTCAAGCCCTTGATCTTGCAGATGGCCGCCACGGCGCCGAAGATGCCCGCCGTGGCGGTGTTGTGGAAGCCTCGGGGGTAGCCACCCGAAGATAGGGCGCGGCCGAGACGGCACGCCACCTCGTACCCGACGGAGAGACCCGTCAGAAGCTGGCGCCCGGAGGCGTTGGAGGCTTCAGCTTGCGCCAAGGCGGCCGGGATGACGCTTGCGCCGGGGTGGATGATGCCGATTGCGAGGGTATCGTCAAAGTCAAAGGAGTGTGCGAATGCGCCGTTCAGCAGAGCTGCGATGTGTTTGGGGTATGTTTTTGTTTTGCCATAGACTGTGCTCTCACCGGCGCAGCCTTCTGAAAAGGCTTCGACGGCTTTGAGAATGTGGCTGCTTGATTCCGACTGGGCTCCGCCGCCGGCTCCGACACCGATGTGATCGATGATCAGATCGAGGAGCTTGGTGATGGCTTGCGGTGGTATGTCTTCGTATTTTGCGTCGGCGATGAAGTTGCTGAAGTTCTGTGTAGCGCCCTCTGCGCCGGGGTAGAACTGGTCTGTGGTGGCGTTTCCACCTCCGTTGGCTTGGTTTGCCATCTCCGAGTCTTTCAAAACGCAAGGTAGGTCTGTTTCTCACAGGTGTACAGTATAAGGCGTAATGAATTCCCCAGGAACTTTGCAAGAGTAGAAATGAGTTGAATAACTTCTACTTCAATTGCTTACTATACTGCTAGATACTAGTACGAGAGACTACCCGCCGGGTGTCGTCATCCAAGAACACCAACATGCGGCACCGCGGGGTTGACACGGGAATGACAGCAGTCAATGCGGGGATGCCCAGGCTTGCAACCCGCCAAACTCTCTTTGTGCCGCAACCTCGGTCATCCGGCTCCCACGAGACAACTGTCAAAGCCGCTCGTGGCCCGCGAAATGGGGCCGGCGCCGAATACATGGGGCCGTCTCTGGGAGCCCGGCCGCTCGAGTGCCACTTTTCAGATCATCTGCAAGGACATGCGCTGAACATTGTCCTCATGAACAGCTTTCCAAAGCACGCGAAGGCGCTGCGTAAGGAGAACTTCAGGATATCTGCTCAAACTTCCCTCTGCGTCTAAAGACTGGAGAGCTGTCGCATATTCGGCGCTCCACGTCCTTATCTGATCCAATACCTGGCTGTAGCGATCAGCGGGCGTCGTTTGCAAATCCGGTTGCACGTTTCTGTAGAGATGCAACGGTGAAAAGCATGCACGACAGCGCTGGCCCCTGTACCTCAAGCAGCCGCAATCCGAACATGGACGCCGCCGTCGCCACTCCTCCAAGGGTCCGACGCCGTCTTTGACGTACATCCGCTGCAGGCATTGCTGACACCGCCGTTTCCAAAACTTGTCAGGGTCCCCGACAGACAGGTCAATCTGGGTTGTGGTGAAGGACTTGAGCTTCTTCACTTGAAAGCATCCGTAGCACGGATACCTGGCTGGCGAGATGGTGCCGTCGTGGAGAATGATTGGCTCATACCCTCGTACGGCAAGAAACCGCTCGTGCAACGGGACCCAGTCAGCAGACACGTTGAGTCGCATTAGGCAACATGTGCTTCAGAGGTCGATGACATCCAGGTACTTCAGCCAGTGAGAAATTCCCCGAAGAATATTGACTGGCAGCCTTTCCAGCGAAGGCGGCTTTCTCTGTTCAACACGCTGGGTGCTTGTCATCTCCCAGTCTCCCCATAACTGACGCCATCTCTGCTCCCGACAATCGAGGCATTCACGAGACGCGTCCCCAGTCTCTTTGGGTAAGATACGACGTTGGAACGACGATCGAGGCAGCATCAAAAGGCACGTGAAGCAAGCCCACATCTGCATCTTTCGATACTTTGCAAAACCTTCAGCACGTTGCAAGAAGTCTGTTTTATCGAGCCTGCTTATTAGAAACAGGAATTTGCTGCTTAAGGTTTGGTGCAGGTAGCGATTGGTTGATACGAGAGACAAGGCGCTTTCGACGTTGAGGTATCTAACGATCTCGCAACAGATGTCGAATGAAAGATCTTCGAATCGCGTCCGCTGAGAATCGCAGCGCAAAGCATTACCATTGGTAATATCGTTCTTAAGAGGAATCTCATCTGTGCTAGGGATCTCGCTCCTGGATGATTCGTTCGACAACCTCGAATGCGCCGACCGCGACTGCTTCATTGTCAGAGAGTATATGATGTGGTGCTCTAATAAAGATCTGGTTTTGATGGCGTTATTAGTTGGAAGCTGAGCTTGCTGGTATGGCCTGCACAATGATCCAAGCCAGTTGGTTTGCACTTGGTTACCTTTTTGTTTTGTGTTGATGGATAGTCTCGCAACGAGATGATTCAAACAGTCAGAGAGGAAGACATAGTGCCAATGCTTTGCAGTTTGACTCATATGAGGGTTGAGTCACTGATTGAAACTTTTCGCCGACATCAAGGTATCGACACCCTTCACAAAACTCAATGAGTTCCTGGATGGCCTGTAGCAAAGTCTAACCACGATCAAAAAGTACCTCGCACGTCACTGGCAGCACGGTCCAAAAGGTGAAGGCATATGAAAATATGTACCTTTCAGCTGAAATAAAAGTATATACACGAATTTCTTCACCGTCTCATCGGAGCCGCTATCCGGAGCGGCTCCTTTGTCCTCTCATTCCTCCTCTACTGGCACTGGGAGTAGTAGTCGTTCTGCTTCTGGCAAGTGTATCCAGTCGCGCAAGTGGTGGGGCCGGTGTAGCCGTTGCCGCCGCACTGAGCCCAGCGAGCAGCAGCAGCCTCAACGGTACCAGAAGCAGCAGCAGCGGGAGCGCTGGAAGCAGCCTCGGCGTTGTCGCCGCAGTTCTTGCTCCTCACGCTGGTGACGAGAGTGGTGGCAGGAGCGGGAGTGGCAGCAGGGACACTGGGAGCAGGGGTGACAGCCGGGACAGAGGCGGCAGGCTCGCTGGCGGCGGGCTCACTGGCAGCAGGGGCAGAGCTAGAGGGCTCGGCGGCGGCGGCCTCGGAGGTAGTAGCGGCGGGGGCGGAAGAGGCAGCGCCGGTGGCGACGGGGGCGGCGGAGGTAGCGGGGGCAGCACCACCGGCGGCGGCGAGAAGGCTGGAGATGGAGGTGTAGGCGGGCTTGGGCTTGAGGTTCTCGTCCCAGGGAAGAGCCTCACCGGTGCCGGGGAAGACAGAGGGAATCCAGGAGTACTTGTCGGTGTAGTCCCAGATGCTGACGCCAACACACTCGGCGACGTCGAGGCAAGCACCAACAACGCTGGCGTAGTCGGTGGCCTGCTGTTCCTGAGCGGTGGTGTCGGCGGGGATGCTCTTGTGGCGGATGTCGAGCTCGGTGTAGGCGACCTCGGTGACGCCGGCGTCGACGTAGGACTTGAGGACGGTGCTCAGGGCAGAGCGGGAGCCAGCGCTGCCGACGATCAGATGGGCCTGAAGACCGACACCATCGATCTTGGCACCGGCATCCTTAATGCTCTTGATGATGTTGAGGACCTCCTTCTGCTTGTTGCCAGCCAACTCGATGTTGTAGTCGTTGTAGTAAAGCTTGGCATCAGCATCAGCCGCGGCGGCGGCCTTGAAAGAGATGGGAATGAAGTCAGTACCGAGGACCTTGTAGAAGACACTGTCGCGGTAGGTGCCGTCCTCGTTAAGGGCCTCGTTGACGACATCCCAGGAGTAGCACTGGCCCTTGTAGTGACCGGCGACGTTGGAGATGTGCGTCTCAATGATAGAGGTCAGCTGCTCCTTGGTCCAGGTACCAGAGGAGACCCAGGTGGGAAGCTGAGAGTGCCAGACCAGAGTGTGGCAGCGCAGAAGCATGCTGTTGTCCTTGGCGAAGGTGGCGATCTCGTCGCCGGAGGTGTAGCTGAAGACGCCCTGGCTCTTCTCGGTGAACTGCCACTTCTGACCGTTACCGGGGGTAATGGCTCCGAACATCTTGTTGTCCTTGAGGATCGCGACGTATTCGGTGTTGGTCAACTCCGAGTTGTCAGTGGCGGTACCGAAGTACTTCTTGCCGGCGGCCTTGGCCAGTTCGTTGAGGTTGGCGCTGACGCCAGTGGCGAGCAGGCCGGCTGCGGTGAGGGCGGAGAAACGCATCTTGGTGAGAGTTGGAAAAGAGAGACTGAGATAGAGAGAGACTGGTGAAAAAGAACGTGATTGTACCTCGAGGGGACAAGAAAAGAATGGAATTGAATGGCAAAAGACGACGAAAGCAGAGTCAGAGAGAGCGCATCGTGGTGCTTGGCCGGGGGCGGGAGGCGTTTATGAACGTCCGCCCTAGTTGACGTTCAATTCTCTTATTTTCTCACTTGGCTAAGTTTGTACGGCGGAGCAATCCGACGTCAATCTATCCAAGGCTTCAAGCTCATCCCACCGTAGCCGACGATCCGGCACCAACCTGCCCCTGTCTTCATCACGCAGACAGATTGGCTGCAAATTCTCGCTTGTTCGTCCAAAGTAATGAAGGGGGTCACTCGCCTGAGGGGATCTCCCGTTCTGTTCTGGGGCTTACACTGAAAGACAAGGATACCGCTGGCGCGCGGTTGGACAGGTCTGAGTCGGGGCCTGTGGGCGCCCTTTCCTCATTCTCTCCTGAAGACGACAGGCAAGTTCCTATCTTTCTCGAAAGAACGCAGGGCGGCAAGAAACCAAAAACGTGCATGTTCAAATGTGTCATCCGATCGAAAGAGGCCTAACGGTGTCCCCGCTCCGCCCCTTAATTTCCGGGGTGAGGAGGTTCCACGCTCACTCTATTCGGGCCTCTGCGCCGTGATCCAATTTGTTTACACAAAACACGCCATTTTTACGCTTCCAAGCATATTACCTTATTCACCACAAGACCTGGAAAGGAGAGCCTTCCACCAATTGATAGACTTCGAACACGCGAAAGCTGTGCGGGCGCGATCGGCTTCGGTAAAATGGCCTACCGCACAAAGTGAGGATTGGGACATTTACAGCCTGACAGCCATTGGTGCAATTGAAAGACAGCTGAGTTCCATTAGAATGGCTTGCACCGATCGGCTCCGGCTCCCAACCGACACGACGGCGAATAGTGGGTCTCTGAATCGGGTCGAAATGTGGGTCATCGCCGAAATCGCCGATGAAACCAGGCAAGCAGTCCGAGCATCGAGTGATAGAGCAAGTCGATGAGGAATTGATAAGTAAACTCATTACATTGAGGATAGTAGTCCTACGGCTAAGTATAGTATTATTCATTATGTTTCACCCTTCCAAGGAGTGTAGTCCGCCCATATTGTCATTATTATTTCCTCCCATTGTCATTAAAAGTCCAGTATTCCATATGGATAGTCGTTTTATCGCTCAAGTCAATTTGATTAATAGTGAATGCCAGCATCGTCTGGGTCTTGCCAGACTCGTATGTGGGTAGTTGTAGTTGGTAAAGAAAAGAGTGCGAAGAGTTCGCTTAGACAGAGACGTTGGGGCTGATGCCAGCAACGAGGGTAGGGTTGAGAGTAACGCGGGCGTCGGCAATGCGCTGGAGGAGAGCGGCAGAGGCACCGTTTCCGTTGGCAAGAGCAGTCTGGGCCGCAGCGAGGAAGGCGTCTGTAGCGGTGGCGATCTGCTTGAAGGAGTTGGCGATGGCGGTGGCAGACTCGGTCTTGACCTGGCCGAGGAGAGGGGTGATGAGCTGCTCGAGGTAGCTGCCGATCAGACTGAGCTGGGTGCGGACCTGGGTGTTCAAAGAGCGGGCCTGGGCAACGACAGCGTCAAGAGCGGCGACGACGCCACCAACGGTGCCAATGGCAGTCGAAGTAGCACCGGAGACATCGGGGGCAGTGACACTAGGGACGGTGACGCCGGGGACAGTAACGCTCGGGATGGCGACGCTGGGAACTCCGGGAACTCCGGGAAGAGAGACGCTGGGGATGGCAACGCTGGGGACGGCGACGCTGGGAACTCCCGGGACACCGGGGAGAGAGACGCTCGGGACAGCGGGGACGGCGACGCTGGGAACTCCAGGAGCTCCGGGCAGGGAGACGCTGGGGACGGCGACGCTGGGAACAGCGACGCTCGGAACTCCGGGAGCGCCAGGAAGAGAGACGCTCGGGACGGCGACGCTGGGAACAGCGACGCTAGGAACTCCAGGAGCTCCGGGGAGAGAGACGCTCGGGATGGCGACACTGGGAACCCCCGGGATAGAGACGCTGGGAATAGCGACGCTGGGAACTCCAGGGAGAGCGACACTGGGGACGCCGACGCTGGGGACGGCAACGCTGGGAACACCAGGGAGAGCGACGCTCGGGACGGCGACGCTGGGAATCGCGGGAGCTCCAGGAGCACCGCCGCCGTTGCCGCCACCACCTCCTCCGTTACCCCTGGCGATGAGCTCGGCGGTCAGTTGCTCGAGCTTGGTCCTGATAGCATCAGCGTTGGCCTGGACCTGCTTGACAACGGCTTGAGCCTGCGCCTGCTTGTCGGCGGCAACAGTGGTAGCGGCCTTGTTGAGCTCGACGACCAGGGCAGCGGTCCTGGAAAGATCGTCGCGAAGCTGTGTAAGAGTCTGGTAGGCGAGGGCCTCGGCTCCGAGGTTCTGGAAGTTGAAGGAGATCGCCGGGGTAACAATGTAGCCGGGCTGGATGACAAGGGCGTTCTGGCGCGAGATGAGACCGGCGTTGACAGAGGAGACTGCCAGAGCGGCGAGGGCAGCAGAGGCGATCCTGTACTGCATCTTGGCGACTGTTGAACGGTCGTATTAAAAGATGTAGAGAAGCTTGGCGAAAGGGCGAGTAGATGAGATGTGAAGATGGTAGTTGCCAAGAGGATGTTGCAGTGTAGGGCTGAGGTGGTGATTGTTGATGCGGATGAGGAGGGGAAAGAGATGATTGAGGGGAGAGATGCCGACGCCTCTTATAGGGATTTGGGATGGTATCGAATGTCACGATATCCACTTGTTCTCGGCGACGTTGCGAAGCAGCCTTGCGATATTTCCGCAAACGAGACTTGGCCCCTCGTGGTGGGATGGCGAGAGTACCATGGCTGCTTAGGCGGAGGTGGCTCCGTGGACTACAGACTCCATCCGGAGCCTTGGACTGGCCCACATTGAGAGCTTGCGCATCATTCCGAAGCTCTGTGAGAGCCAACATCCAGTCTACTCGAGGTAATGTTGCTCTAGCTCGTCGAGGGTGTCCGCCTTCAGGCAGATGGCAAGCTAGCCTAGGAATTGCCGTGCCGGTGGATGAGACGGTCGACTTGGTTGAGCCGCGCTAAGGGATCTTCCCGTGACGTCGGAGGCCTGGGCCGATCCAGATGGGCCCGCGTTCCTCGGAAAGTGCCAAAAACTTCACCCGGAAGGCTCAGTCTACCGGTGGTAGTGAGTTAAGATGTCTCTGGTTGATGTCAACAGGTCCTGCCAAGCCGCCAAGTACCCTTAGTGGCCAAAAACGTCGAGGAAGTTTTATCTCGCCGGAGGAAAACTGTCTTCCAACATCACGGTGATGTGATGGAGAGTCTGAGCTTACTCGAACTGACTCTGAATACCCTGGGCCTATTGAAACCCCAGTTCATCGATCTCGATCACCACCCGGGGGTCTCGTGGAAGCAAGCCGCTCTCGGGGAGGTGAACCATCGTCATGAGTGACATTGTGCAGTCAGGAAAACAACACAGATTGTGGACAATACAAGCTATGACGACATTCCAGCGCTCTATTCAGTCAGGGTCGAACTTTCACTTCTCTTCAGCAACGCCGCAGGCGCCGAGAGACATACCGTCCAAATCACGGCTTCCACTGCTCAAAGAAAAGATTCGAATCCGTAAGACATGTTTTGTGCGGCAGAAATTTGACAAGGAATATTGGCGGGTAAGGCGTCTTCACATCTCTCACTCATCGGATCGGGTTTCCTCACCTCCGTCCGGCAGCCCTCATCACCTAGCAAGAATGCTGGGAACGGACGAGCTGTGCTGTGTTCTTTCTCGTCACGGCCGAATGAGGAAATACAAAGCACCTTTGACCAATGATGTCTCAGGGTCTACAGGAGCTTCCCGAGGTGATGTCTGTGACTAGCTGCTGTGCTAACGAATGAGCAGGCTACTTGAAGCCACATCCCCACATCCAACGGGAACAACCCTTCTGGCGGCTCGACCCAGGCTGACTCAATCTAGACGTTATTAGAGCTGGGAACTAGGCAATGGTGTAATCATCCAGATTGAGCTTAGACTAAGCTTGGCGGGAGAACTAGGCTGGCGGGAAATATGTCAGCGGATGCCTCCTCAGCGGGCCGCATTCATCGACAGCGGGGAGCCCCAGCCGCCTTCGATCTGTGAAGGGGAGCCTATCTTGTAGCGGGACGCCGGCGATCTGACCAAGTTTTGGTGGCAGATTCCGTAAATGGCACTCTCCGAGACAACGTTTGCGGCCGTATGACGGGAGTGTAGTTTACAGTCAGTGTTGTGTGGAGTGATTGATTGAGCTGACTCAACTGCTGTGGAAACCACATTCCAGACCGCAGGGCCGCGCTTCACGGCCCGAATCTTGAATGCTGCGAATCGGTTCCAGGCTTCACAATTTTGGAAGTTTGGAAGTCTTGATAGAAATATTGAAACTACTTGTTGCTATAATTTGATGTATTCAGAGTAACATATAGTGTTCTTGCAGAATGATTCACGTAATACTCAAGGCACTTCTGTATTTCAATCTAATCTCAATAATCCTTCTTCACGTTTATCACACATTGCGAAATCCTTACCCGAATGGAAAGGCGTTTCTTGCCTTATTCAGACCCCCCAGAAATGAAATCTTCATGGTTTGCCAGACATGTCTACTGGACATTGCCTGGTGCGAATTTTGTTACTCGATCCGTGACTCAAATATGAATGCTACGTTTCCATCCTCAAATGCCGGCTTCTGAAGCCAAGCATCAATCGACAGGCAACCTGCAATTTTGTCTCGTGGGCACGTTATGGAAAGGGGGAGATCGACAGTTTCCGAGCCCGCCTCCGAGTTATTTCCCAAGCTCTGGAACATTTCGCAGTTTCCTCTTTTGGACCCTGAGACATGTCTTCGAGGGATCGGCGCATGTTTTCAGTATCTTTGACCGGGTGGCCAAAATAACGATGACACCTTATTTGGAAGTCTTATTGCGACCTCACCATGACGTTCTACACATTTCACCCATTGGCAAACTCTGCTTCAAGAACGAGAACCCAAGATAGGCTGTCTCTCCGCCAGCCACCAACGTTGAGACTCTCTAAAGCCTACCATCTAAACAATGCATTCACTATGTTTATGGCATCTCAATAAACGTGTCGCAACGTTTGCAGAAGGCAGCGTGCCCGCAACCCTTTTCCCGGTCCGAACGAAGAGACGAAAATGAGATCGGCCCGGTCGCTCGGTTCATATTAATCAGTGTCGATCGCAGTCTGGTCTTCCGGCAATTATCCTTGTGAGGCTCATTAAGGTTATGTTTTCGACGTTACCGTTCCTTGCGGAGAATCTGGTCCTGGGTCCATACACCATGGCGTCATGTTGTTCGGCGCCCAGCCCGAAATCCCATTCCGCTTTCGTGCCGAGGCACAGAAAGCCTCGCGAAACGTTGTCCCTGCAGTGATGAACTCAACAAATCCCAATTGTGGATATGTCAGCACATGGAATTTTGCCTTCCGAGCGCAATATTGGAGTGTCTTGCCAAGGCGAAAGTCACTTCCCCCTCTCGACTAGCTGGCTCTCACCATCTGCGATACGCCTTCTTGGAAGCTAGACACGGCATCGAGATGTCGACAATAGTCCGGATGGCGATGAAGGTCTTGACATCGGCGTGATTAGAGATGCCAATGTCCGGGTTAACCAGACTTGCCGACATGTTGCTGCTATGTGAGCAAAGGCTTCTCTCAGACGAGTAGGAGGCAGAGCCCAGAACGCAGACTTCGTTTGGCTGGCTTTGCGAGTCTTTTTTCCCTTTTGCCGTGGAGGATAGTCGCGACCGTACCAAGGTGTCAACAATAGATCTTTGCGTAGATTTGCGTAGAGTCCACGTGCATGGTAATTTGAAAACCAATACGAAAGGACGACTTTAGAAATTGAAATCTGATTGAATACAAGAGCTTAATCCGCGAACCTGGTAAACCTTGTTTTATGCTTGTTTTTGAGTTATCACATGGTTACCTTAAAATTACGCGCATGACGTGGCTTCTAAGTGCTCGGGCGGTGGTGGGTCTTTCCAACCACACTGAAGTCTGGTCACATCCAGGGCGAACAGATGATCTGATATTCGACCCGAGAAACTGGTTTGCCAATGCTGCCAAGAGAGCCATGTTTGACAAAGATCAGGCAACCCTTCCAGGGCATGAAAGCAGGTATTGCACAAGATGAGCGAGGTACTCTCAACAGAATTGGACCCTGTTCCAACCTGTCCCGGGAGCATACATGCGAGAAAGGGACTGAAAAGAAGGCATTTTAGGCGTAGAAGTTTTCTACCTGATGTCTTTGCTACCCAAACAGTACAGGTATCTACAAATCATCAATCAGAGGGCTAAGTCCCTGAGCAGTGCCAATCTTGTCCTCAAAGAAGATCTTCAACCTCTCAACACGCTCACGGTTGACCATGAAACGCTCAAAGTCGATAGGGTTGGTCGAGTTGATCTCCATCAGATCAGGCCAGCCGGTAGGGGCAGGGATGTCTTGGCGAACGCTCCAGGAACCGGTGACGTTGGGGTTCTGGTACTCATGGCTGAGCAGGAAGTTGTGCAGAAGCTTGGCACCCTCCTTGTGAAGGGCATCCTTAAGGATAGCACCACGCTGACCCCACGTGACGAAGAAGCCTTCTTTGGGAATGGAGATGTTGAAAGGGGCGGAGGGGATCATGCCGACACTGCCAGTGAAGGTCACCGCGTAAGAGTTGTTGGCCTGGCCCATCACGGTGGTGGGAGTAGCAGTGCCGCGCACCCAACGAGGGTTCTGGGCGAGCAGGTTCTCGAACCAGCTGTAGCCGTATTGCTGCATCCTATCTCACTGTTAGTATCGTCGGGCAATGACATGAACGGGCCTGAACTCACGCCAAGTCAAACGCGTAGAGAACTGCATCATCGTCGTTGGGGTAGGTGAACACCAGCTTGTCCTTGTATTCGGGCTTCAAGAAGTCGAGGTAGTCGACGGGGCCATCAGAAACCTTGTCGGCATTCCAAATGTTGGTCCAGCCGAAGACGACAACAGCGTACCAAGCACCGAAGACATCGCGGAACCCGGGATGGATCTTGTCGTAGTTGAGAGGCTTGTAGCGCAAGAGAGCCCCCTCCTCGTCCCATCTGGGATAATCTTGGAGGGTCTACACAGAATGATCAGCAGCTGAGATGAGAGATGAGATCAATTCGCCATACCTGAAGAATCACGCTGTCGACGTGGACATTGCCTTGAGACAGCTGACGATCAATGTTTCCGTCGATGTACTTGGAAACGTCGACGGTCAAGTTGAGAGTCATGCCGGGGAAGCGCTTCTCGAAAGCCTCCTTGAGAGCATCTTGCTGGTTCTTCTCATCACCTCCATGCCAGAGAGTAACGACGCCTCCTTCCGCGAGCGCAGCCTTGTGGATGTCATCAATTGAGCGCGTTTCGATTTCAGGAGCCCCGTTGAAGTTGAGAAGGTTGTCATAGGCGGCTACGGATGTGGCTAGGGCAGCCGAGATAAAGAGCGTGGGCAAAACCATGTTGGCTGGATCTTCAGTTGGTTGATAAGTGAGTGTAAAGAGTGACGACTGCCTTGTCTACAACAAGGTCACAATAGAAGAGCATTGGGAGGGGGGAGATGGAACTTATATAAAAGCTAATTTTTGTGTCAGGGATAGGAGGATCCTGCGATCACACCATACCTCGCGATGACTTGCCAGCTGGAAAGACCCCACTGAGGTCGATTCATGTCTTACCTAGTATCCGTATGTTAGGTCTAGTTGACAGAATTGGCAGGGACCTCTTTCGATGTGGGCTCCGGTGGGAGAGCGGGACTGGGCAACCGCTCGACCTCCCCAGTGTCGTATTCTTGGCGCGGGGAGAGCGATGGGAGCTGTAATCAGATGAACGTGGCGGTCCACTGGGCGTCCCAATTTCAGCTATGGTGTAGCTGACAAGGGATCAATCGGAAAATTGTTGGTTTAGCATCAACAGGCATGCGAACTCGGCCAATCCCGTACAAATTTGAGCCAAGTCCTTCATTCCGAGCGAGCCCGAGCAGCCATTTCTGAGCCTTATTCCGAGGCTTACAAATTTGTGTTGTTTCCATTGACGTAAAATATTTATCATGCTATATTTCCGGCACGCATAGTAGGTTGAATCGAACGACATTCCTAAAGAGGTTCTTGCATCCAGACCCGGGCCGTGAATAAGATCCACAACCTCCGCTTTGCCCCGTCCACACCACGGCACGTGCCTTTAGCCCCGTATTAGGCAGGCTAGTTGGAGATGGATGTCCTTGCTGAGGCGAATTCTTACATAGGTGATGGGAGCCAGCCTGCAAGTCAAACAGGAGAAAGACTTGCCTGCCGCGCGGGTATGCAAGGATTTTCACTCATAGTTCGGATGCTTTAAGGTGCCGTGGGAAGATGGGGGCCGCAGAAGCATCCTTGCGTTGATCCCGAAATTTGACCTTGCCTCAAAGGGATAAAATACCCAGACCCCGTGGCTGATTCAGTGAAGAGTCCCCCTGGACTTTAGACGTCACGGCCTTGGTTCTGATTTCAATGACAACAATTGAGGTGGAATAAGCAATACTCATATGACCACGGAATTATCAAGATCTCTCTCTTTTCCGGTACGCCGCAATTCTAGAGTAAATACTTGTGAAGGTACACAGAGCAAGAACGCTCGATGTCTGAACATCTCATCAATGCAAATATGAGTTTGGTATCTTGACTTCTGGTTGTCGCTACTTCATCCAACAGTTGTGGAAAGCTCAGAACTTGAGGCTGGGGAGAGTCTTGGCTTTAAGGAGGTGCATCTCTCAATGACCGCGATTCGGATCACGGATTACGGCTCCCGCGCGACCCGCATGCAGTTTCCGGGGCCGAATCCGGGGGAGTGGAACCACAGCCTAAGTCAGGGGCCGAAGTGGCCCGTGTCGGTACTGGCCGATCTCGGGCATAGCTACAAGGTGAATCATCTGCTTTTGGATACGGTCTTTGGCAAATTATGTTTCTTCAGTAAACCTATGAGAAGGTTGCATGAAGTAGCATAAGATCGGAACCGCTACACAACTAAGGGCCAGTTCCAAAGGAGATTGTCTTTGCTGTCCTCTGGATATCTTCAGACGCGGGCCACGAAACCAAGCTTGTAGCGGCCTCGGAGTTCCAAGGTCGTAAGATGCGGCTACTTTTGCTGGCTCAATTGAATAATCAGCAGGAAAGGAGTTCGACTAAGTCTACCCAGTATTTCCCGCCTCTCAAAGCGCGCACGTTCCTCGGACGTGCTAAAGAGACATGAATTTGAACGATCCATTCTTTCTCAGAAAGACATTCATGTTGTCAATGCGATAATGCTGCTAAGCTGAAGAAGTTCGACGTTGATGTGGCGCGCAGAAGTCGTTAGAGGAAGTTACTTGTTTATCTGGTTGTAGATACACAGCTGAGGAAAAAGAAGTTGCTCCGTTTCCTATTCAATTGTCTAGAAATTCTCCGCGATACCAAGCGGCTGGTTCTGTGATGACAACACCCTTTACGGGCACGTAGCATTGGGGTCATTGTCGGTAGCGCAGGGTCCCTAGTTCATGTTAGTATTATAGGCAGTTCAACTCGCACTAGTTCTAAACTCCGTAGACAAGGAGGCAGTAGTTGACTTACACCCGAGCACTACAACACAAACCATGTCAGTCCAAATGTTCTTATCACGAATCAGAGTTAAGGGCACTTACGCAGCCGCAGTTGCATGTTCCGGGAATGTAAGAGCAGCAGTTTCCTTGAGGAAGAGGCTCGCGGCCCAGAAGACCGTTGTTGGTCGATTCCAACGGAGTGGCCATCGCCGCAGAGGCGAACAGGAGAGCGAGAAGGGCCTTGGCGTTCATTGTGATGTGGAAGTGACTCTTGTGGAAGCGTATAACTGTGTGGTCAAAACCGAAGCCGGTGGGATGGCAGAAATCAACTTCATTATTTATACCACTTCGGCGTTACAGAAGTACAACACCAGACTATAGATCAGCGAACCATACAATGATGCGGATACTTTCTCGGTTTCGTATCCGCAAAACAAAGGTCCTAGTAAGGTTTCCGGTGCTTCCGCACGGAATCGTTACGACTATCAACGACTATGACTGTTGTCCATAGGCTGTACGTCCGCGTAAAAGAGCATACCAAGTGACCAACTGAGGGGCGAAAGCGAGACTGCATAAGTCTAACAGGTGATTTAATCTAAAGAAACTTTACTTGTAGATGACATGACAGCGAATTTGGGATCTAAAGTTTCCAAAGATGCGAGCTCCGCACGTAGTCGTCGATCATCCCGCCGGACACTATCATGAACCTGACTCAGTTGGCAGTTTTGGGGCCTGGGCAACCCCCGCTGCAACGCCTTATTGGATGGTAGGGCTCAGCTTTACTATCTCCAGCCACCCGGTAATTCCGCTACAGATACCTTTCATCAGTCTAGGTCAGTTACGGGATCGATTAAAGTCCGACGCTACTGAGGCAAACGCGAGGCAACTCAGTGCGTGAGCTCGGAGTTTCGAGTTGTGCCGTCCTAGCATTGCAGAATTCCCTAGCGGTCGCAGCTTCTATCCGACTCAATTGTAGATGACATCATCGATGGAATCGGATGTTAAGGGGATTCGTTCCCTGGGAGTCATGTGCATCTCTTCTTTCTATAATTTGGTATCTGCGTTTACGTTTCAATCGCTTCGACAATGCGCTTCAGACCCTCGAGCAACAGATCCTTCTTATTGGAAAAGACGATCCTGAACCAACCAGGTCTCTCAGAACCAAACTGCTTCCCGGAAGCAATGAACACCTTCTTACTCAATAACGCGCGCATTACCTCTCCGCTAAGATCGTCAACCGTTCTCTCTGGATGTCGCTCGAGATAAGTCTTTCCCAAATCTATCCACAAAAAGAACGCCGCATTTGCTCCCTGCGCATACGTAATCCCGTTCTGCTTCGCCCAGGCCACAACTAGTTCGTAGTGCTCTTGAAGCTTCTTCTGGTTCTCCGCAATGTAGCCGTCGACCCACTCGCTATCGTCAAGGATGTTCGCAGTAATATGATCCGAGATCGAGGACGGGGAACTATAAATGCCGACCGGTGTCAAAGATCTGTGGAAAGAGGGGTTGTGCTGAGATATGATGGCTCCGAGCCTGATGCCGTTAGCACCAAAATCTTTAGACATGCCCCAGAGAACGTGAAGTCTGTGTGCGTCCATGACTCCAGTCGTGTCGATCGACAAGGAAGACTCGAACGCCACTGGAGGAGGTTGAGTGTCGATGTCATTATTCCAAACGGAAAGCGCATAGATCTCGTCACTGATGAGGTGCATGTCGTACTTCTGGCACAACCGCATCAGATCCAGAATAACATCCCGTGGGTAGCACCTTCCGAGTGGGTTGTGCGGGTGACACAGGATCAACGCGGCAATCTTGACACCCTTGGCCCGGGAAGCCAGCAAAGCGTCCTCGTACTTTTGCGCGGCACCGGCCCCAAGAGGGTCAATATCTTGGAAAGGGACCGGGACAAGCTCGCAGCCCGTCCGATACTCCACGTCCGGAACGAACGCGCCATAGTGGGGCTGTCCAAGCAGAAACCCGTCCCCAGGGTTTCCAAACGCCCAAACTAAATGTTCGATTGCCGAACTGCAGCCGTTGGTCACAGAGACATGTTCCGGCTGGATGGCCGTGACAGGCTTGAGGTGGCCCGTAAGAAAGCGTGCGAGAGATGCCTTCAATCGCTTGGATCCCGTCATGCCATCACCGTATGTGAAAGAGTGCGTCGGAACCGCGAGGTTCTTGTGGATGTGCTCCGATAGTCTTTCGTGCATGAGTGAGTTCTCGGCAATACCGAGACTGATGTATCCTGTCGGATTCGTTGTTGGGTCCCAGAGGTTCTGGACGATGGTCCAAAGAAGCATGCCATCGTCTGGCCTGGCCGCTTCGCTGCCACGGGTTGAGAGGCCGTGGTCCATCTTGTCGGTGTTGTGGTTGAGGGGAAGTTGCGGGGTTGACAAGATGGTCTGATGAAGTGGCTTGTGAGTTAAATAGTGGCAACGGTTTGATAAGAGCGAAGCTTAGCGCGCCTCAATGACTCATTACATTAATTGAGTCAAAAAGGTCGCAGTTCGATACCCCACTCTGTCCGGTCTTGGAGAGCATACAGGCGGAATTGACAGCACTCGTAAAAGGCTGATTGGAGGGTTGCGCTAGATATCACACTGAGATGATTGCATGTAGAAGAGGGGGCGTTATCAACCTTGATACGCCAATCTCAGTTGCGGTCACAAATGTGCCCTTCGTTCAGTCCAGGCCAACTATGACAACATCTTGGTGCAAGCATCTGGTTGGTCAAATGATGCGGGGGCGGGGCCTTGACAACGCTGCAGGGCGTTTTCAACACACATTGCAATGGAGGACATGGTTGGGTCTTCCTCACTTAGCCGAATAATTTAATCGGCGTTCCTAAATGATTAGCGTGCAAAGGTTCCTGGTAGCCAAGCGGCTTGGATGCTTTCCGATTCGGTCATGGTCGTTTTGCAAAAACACGTCTCCGTCAACTTGCTGGATGTTTTCAGTTGGAGGTTCACATTCACATGACAACATATGAGTTGCGGGGCGTAGTCTCTTGTTGGCCAACTAGTAAATTGTGAAAAATAATGTAGCGACAGACTCTGAAATAAAAACCCGATCAATCCAGCCCTCCCTGCTTCCTCCTATTCGATCTGTTCTGAATTCAATGGCAGATCGTTAAGCTCCAGCATGTCATCGTTTATGTTTAACAGTCTCCAGGGCAGGAGCTGCAGGTAGCCAAACTAAACGGTAGATATTAGCATTTTTTTATAAATGCATTGAAACACACAGTTGTGCTCATTAACAGAGTTACTTGCCAGTTGATTGAGCTCGGGATGTTATCCATGTGACAGTAAGGGTACTTCTCGAAGCAGTTCTCGCAAGTCTTCCAGTGGTCAGTGCAGAAGTTGCGCTTCTCAACGTCTCTGCTCTTCAGGGTGTTGAGGTACTCCTCAACCTGGGGACGGATCTCGCGGGCCTCTTCGACGCCGAGGCCGGAGACGGCGCTGGCCGCGGCGAGGATGGAGGCGATAGCGGTGATGGTGAAACGCATTTTGATAATTTGCTAGGGTTGGAAACTGAGTAGTTTGAAGGGCTTCTGTTGTTTTGATTGCGATGGGAGTGCTTTGGGTGGAGAAGATGTTAGTTCTCGAGATTCAACCTCTGACTTTTATATCCTTCATCTGTGAACGAGGAACCCAGCCAAGACAAGACCTCGAAACTTGTCACCTGACACTTCAGTCCGCAAGACACGACTATCACTCAATCAAACGCCGTCACAATCCTTCTTGCCTTGGCATTGCTTTTCATGTCTCTAAGCTTAAGCTCCGCTGCAGGTCGGGTACCTGTCAGCATGATGACAGGGCGCCGATCTTCCGCCCGACGCGACCCACAAGGAGTCTGACGGCATCCTAATAGCTAGAGTTGTCTGGCCTATCAAGCTTCACGAAACAGATAAACCCCCAAGTGATAGGCAAGAGACAGACAAAGACAGCCCCAGGGCTGAGGAGGGAAGCGGCTTAGCACGAAAACTGACGATAAATGAAACCGGCGTCATATTTTCATAGCCTACAGGTGCCTAAACTCTAGGATTGTCGTCACACGAGACGCATACTTTCATTACCTCAATTCGGAAAATGTGAGACCATCCAGCAGTCCTGCGGATTGTCGGTTCTCAGAAAAGTTGTAAGGCATCCACCGCTTGACTAGCATCGCGGGTACTTCCTCTGTGAACAATGTAACATAGAATTATTGCCAAGACCAAAAGTTCCCTCGCCTCGTATTCATAAGTGTGCCTTGCTGAGCTAGCCCCCAAACCTCAGCTCTGTGCCGTCATCAGAGGTCTTCGAGATGCCAGGCCAGAACACAACCAGTGTCATTTAATGTGCCTTCAAAGCAGACGACAAATGACAAGTGATACATTTCGCGCTCGCCACGTTTGCCATGCTTTACGCTGATAGCTAAGCATCCACCAGGTTGCTGAATGTGTAATGTATCGGAGTCGTGAAGCAGACCACTTTACACAAGATTATGTTAAGTTCACCAAGTGGGCAATCCACGTAGATTAATTGGCACGTACTGAGCCTTTCAACAGAAGAACATGGCAAGATAGTCCTACTCGTTTGGGCTGCTGACGAAGACCCTCTAATCGTGAGTTGGACATGCAGACAGTCTCCGACTACATTCACCAGCTTGCACTTACATAGAAATCACGCGACGTGCCGGTGCTTAGCAATGTATTTAGCCATATCCGGCATCAATTGTGTCTTATGTGTCTTTCTTTGACCATCCAAAGTCTCTTGGCTTGGTAGCTAAGGTTATACCTGGCGACTGCTATCATAATGGACTCAGCCGTACCAACCGAAACTTCGCTTCTTGCTGGAAATATCAAGAGCCACTTCTTGTAAGTCTTTCCTTTCTCTTCCGGTCGGTTTTTGAAATCACTCTCATCAAAAGTCAGTGGTTTGATCTACAATTTCGCTAACTAAACCGGATGGCTAGTAATTCTCTGGCCGGAACATCACAAAATTATGCAAGCGGTCTGTTTTGCCAAACTTATTCGTGTGCGTTGGCGTCTCATGCCAGCCCTAAGACCGATTAGCTCGAAGGAGCAGTAAGCACCACGATCTCGATGGAACTGTGAGGTGCTCGTCCTTTACGCTCCAAGTCTGCCTGTCAAGGTCTCAGACAGTTATCATGACCCGGTGACTGTAATAACATGGTTCTGACGACTTTGTAGAGGGTTCCATCTAGCATGAACACAACCTCCAAAGACACGCCATCCGAGGAGCAGTTGACGATTAACCCACGAGAACACAAGCTCGAATACCCCAGATCCCAGCGTGAAGGCTCTCATCTTTAGCTACTCTCGTCTCGCTTTGGATCTCCAGCAAGTGGCAACGATCTGAGTAAGCACCATGTCCAAGTCACATAGATACGCTTCGAGACATCAGACGAAAACGCTGAACCTTCGAGGAATCTTCCCCCAAGCTCGCGGATAATCCGGGGTTCTCTGGTACCCCAAACATGCTCAGCTCGCGTCAGCCGTTCTGACTCTCCACGCCAGTCTCCGAACCCATCGCAAACTTCACCACATCCCAGTCCGTCCACATCTCAAGCCCACCACCAGACCTTCACCCACCCCCAAAATCTCGACGCCAAGAACACCTCCAAGCATCGCAACCTACACTCCAAACCCATCTCAACCCGGCATGTAACCCCCATCCCCCGACGGAGAAACCACCCGGAGATTCTCTCACCCACAATGCCGGCCTCCCGCCGCCCAACTCTATCCCGCACCAGCAAAAGATCGACGATCCCAAGTCGTCAGACTTTGGCAGACATCAGCCAAACCGACCAATCCCTTCACCGCGCTTGATATCCCACGGCAACATGGAAAGTCCAACGAAACAACGACGCCACATGCAAGGACGCTGCCATCAGTCCAAGAGCCGTGCGCGTCGAATCTAGAATGCAAGCAAAAGTCAAACCCCCAAGATCAAGCGCTCGTAAACTATCGTCGTTCCCTAAAAGCACTCACTCCCTTCAGGGATGTCCCGCATGCGAGTTTTGCAGCTCGCGCTGGATGACGACATCTCACTCATCGACAATCACACAAATCTCAGCTCTCAAATGTTTCCCAGTACCGAATCAATCTCTTTCAAACATGCTTTCTCGAAGCCTGACACCAGCCTCTTGGTGCTTCTTCGTAGTAGCTATACGCACGGAAGACTGCTCTCTTCTCCTCCACCGTTCCAACTTCCTGGCCGTCCCAACTGTCTCTATGCATTAATCCGTGCCACCAACATCAATTCTATTCGTTCGTGTATTTTCTGCGTCCTATTTACAGCTCGCGAGCCTCCCGACCAGCAGCGATTACCCGCCCGATGATCTAGATTGCCATCAGATGCTCTCATCGCAGCAGCCATTAAGCATTAACTTCTCACATCAATGTGTCCACCCTCAATCACCAAGCATACGTCGCCCATCCCGCCTTCACAATGCCGCTCATAATGCCATCAACTGTAGAAACCACACTTGAAGGGGAGAAGAACATATCAAAGCACACGGCATGACACCCCAAACCAGGCAAACTCCCCCGTGCAACCAACCGCTCCCTCAGAGGAAAGAGAACAAAACAAGGTTCACCCCGTACTCCCTCCCCACGTGCCCGCGAGAGGTCGTAGCCACCGCACGTGCAAAAGGAGGCCGCGTCCACAGAACTTTTCCATGCCTTCTGTCGTCACGAACCAATCAGCCCTGTTCCCCCTTTAACGCAGCAACTCTCTCTCTGTCGCCGTCGCCGCCCACCGAGTACCTCACTCCCTACCCTACCTTGCCGTGACTACCTGCGAAAACACAGCATACAACCCCCCTGGAGGAACTCAATCATGCCCACTCCATCCCCCTTATTCGCCCTCCATGGTGTCAGATATCAGCACCCATAACACCTCGACCTGAACCGATAGGTCGGGACAGCCCGGGGCGTCGTCTATGGTTCGGGGGAAGGTTTGACGTGGCGAACTTGTGTGGGAGACGAGCCTGGTGGGCTTCGTAAGCTGGTTCTTTGGCCGAGGTTGGGAATGCCCTCGGCTGCTACTGTAGTCCATCAACAGAATGAGAGATGTCTAGGTCGATGTAATGACTTCATGTTGAAAGTGTGGCCGATCGTGATAGATCCAGCGAGGCAGAGTACAAGCGAGCACTAAATCAGATCATACAGTTGAATACAGATTCGTTTCTTCAATATTCAAACAGCGGGACATGAGTGTCCAGGTATATCCAAATAGATAAAGAAGAACGCCAAAGAACGGAATTGCTCTGAATCTGTAGAGCATCCAAATAATCCCCACAGCTGGGGGGAAACCACCCGAATCCAGTATGTGAATGCGCCAACCAAAACCGATAGACGTTAACCCAGGGTAATGCGATTGTGTGGTTGATTTTGTGTTCCTCAATCCATGGTAATCATCATGCGTAAGCAAGCTTCAAATCCAGATAGCCAAACCCCCCATTTCCCCTCGCCCGCATTCCACATATTCCTCCTCTTTTCTTAGTCAATTACTACGTATTATATCAAACGTGTTTACTGGAGTTGTTGTCGTTGTTGTTGCTGGTTCCGCGCAAGCGTGGGCAGCGCATTCATGTCGAGCTGCATCGGAGGGCGCTGGATCTCGAGGCTGCGACTGGGCGCTCGCCTGCCGCCGGGGGTGCGCGGGTGAGCGACGTTGACGCGGCCGCCGCGCTCCGAGATGCGCGCGGGACCCTCGTCTGAATCGGAATCCTCCTCGGGCTCGTCGTAGCCATAGTCTGCCAGGCGGGTGAAGTAGTCGGCCAAACCATCTACACTTGGTGTGCCGACGATGACATCGTACTGAGGCGGAGGAGTTTGCGCCGTGAGGTTCTCGACCGGGGGAGGAGGGATCTCGGCGTCAAAGGCCGGTGGGTTGTATGAGGGCACGCGTAGCAGGTGGATTGGACGGGCTTGATTGTCGTAAGGATCCACCACGACGGTGTTGGAGTTCGGTGGTGAAGAGCGGCCCCCGCTTCCGGGCGTAGGTGTTGGTGAGGATGGGAGATGGGCGGCCTGAGGTGGTGCCGGGAGCTCGGTGTTCGCATCGGTGATTGTGAGGGCGCCGGTTGAGAGGTTGTTGGGAGAGCCCTCGGGAGGTCCGGCGATGGTTACGGCATCGGGGCATCCGCACGAAGTTTGACGGCTCTGGGCGAGGCAGCTGTCCGGACCAGAGTACTCTGGGAGAGAGGTGTTGGCTTGCGTTGCGCGGCAGTTGAGGACCGTGAAGGGTGAGTCGATTGAGATCTCAAAGTGGCGGCGCTTGGTACCGGTGGGATCTTCGGGGTCAAGGCGAGAGATTCGCATGACGATCTATTCAAATTAGTGGCTGCCCTCCACAGCAGTAAAAGTTTTAGGGCTCACCTTAATCCAGTGGTACACATTGACATTCTTCCAACTGCAGTCGGGATGCAAGCGCAGTGTCTTGTCCTTTGCCATCGTGTCACACGTTGGCAATTGAACATTCATCTCGATCTCAGTAGAACCCCAGTAGCTCTCCAACCCGAGATCCAAATCGCCCAGAATGTTATCGACAGGCTCCGGCAGGGGGTCGGGCATCACGCCATGACGCGACGCCTCGGCAGCGCGACGCATGCTCGCAGCCTCCCGGGCCTCCCGGCGCTGGCGAGGCGTCAGCTCACCACCGTTCAGAACGCGGACATCCGAAGACGCATATGCAGGGTCCAGCGGCTTTCCGGCAGTCTTTTCGAGGAGGAGAATCTTCCTGCCGGGATCTTTGCGGGTAACGCGGCGATCGTTGGTCCAGTATTCAATTGACTCGGTGACAAAGACCTTGAGCTTATGCACCTGGACCTTTGCAAGTGGTGTGAGCTTGAATGCGATCGGGATCTTGGTGCCGATTGGGAATGATTTGCCGGATATGATGATGTCGTAGTGAAGCTGATCTTCCCATTGCCTGCTGATGGAGATGGGCTCCGTCATTTCGAGCGAGAGTTGATCGGGCACGCGCACGATGGCAACCTCCTTGGATCCGTGCAGGTTAGGCTTAAACGCACCGGCGCGCTCGACGGTCGCCTGCAACTCCCACTTCACCGAGCCATATTGCAGCTTGGTCGTCTCAAGCTGGTGGTGATCGATTGGAAGCTCGAAGGTGTACTCGTAGAGACCGGGGTAGAAGACCTTGTAACCCTTGGCTTGGTTGCCATTGGGGTTGTCGCCCTTTCCGAAACTGCGCGACTGGTTGGACTGCAGAGACAGGCGCTTCAGTTCCTTCGCGGTGAGACCTTGTCGGTTGGGGGGTATCGAGAGGAGCGACGGGGAGATCGAGTTGCGAGGCGATCCGCCGGGAGCAAGGTTTGTTGAAGAAGAATTCGAAGAGCTGTTCTTCAGCACGTATTGACATTGGTTTCCATATTCGGTTTCCCATCCATCGTTCACAGCGTTGAAAAATGTTAGAACCTGGGTTCGTAATGATTCCTCCTCATAAAGGTCGACTTTCAATGGGGGAATTCCCTCAGGCCACTCGGTTCGTGCCTTGCCCACCAACTTCAGGCTCACACCCTTGATCTTGACGTTCTTGGACACCTTCAATTGCAGCTTTCCGCGCAGCAGGGCAGTCCCGCCCTGCGAGTGATGGCGGTGGCCGTCGTGTTCGAACCCAGTAAGGAAAATGTTGGGCTCAGCCATGAGAATGGAGCAGCTTACACCGCTTCCGTGTGCGACCGGCTTGGGGATCTCGGTGACCATTGACGTGACGTTGCTCTTGGCAGTGCGGACCGACATCAAGCTGCTTCGTTGGCCGGGGGTGTTGTACGCAGCACTCATCAGAGGGGGCCGCAAGGCCTCGGCCATGGCAGCTGAGCGTAGTGCCATTGTGTCCTCCTCCGGAACTACCAAGTCCACCTCTCCGTAAGTCGAAAGTCGATTGAGGATGCTTGCTGATCTACTGGGCGGCCGCGAGAGTGTGTTTGCGGTTGATGCGCGTGATGTTGATCGACTCGGGACTTGCTTCTGGGAAAGGGAGAAAAATTGCTTGATGCTGAACTTGAATGAAGACTTGCCCAGTGCCGTTGTTGTGGGCGAGACTGGTTTTGAAGGCTTCCTCCTCTTGGCGGGGCGCTCCGGTTGAGGTCGAAGTTCGTGGGGTACGAAGCCGGAAGGCCAGGACGTGATGTGTATTGACCTCGGTCTTACTTGGCGAGCGCGGATAGGCGGCGTCGGCAATCGGGATTGTTGTTGTTGTTGTTGTGTAGAAGGGGGGTCTAGTAGGTATCTGGGGCAGTAGTAGACGCCGCCTCGGGTGGATGTTGGAATCCAGTTTTCCGTTCGCCGAGGTCGCTCCGAGTCTGTCATTGTCGGCATTGTTAGACGCTGTGGGCTGGAAGATTCATGAACGGAGGGGCCGAGTGATAGAGGGAGTCCGCTATCACGCAGTCTGCCGCAGAGAGGCGTGGAATGCCGGGTATATAAAAAAAGGATGACGGGAGGTGTTGAAGTTTGAACTTGTGCTTGTAAGAGAAGATTGGCTCAGGAACAGTAGGGAGAAAAGAGTGCCTGGGGTAACAGGGCCAGATTAGGTGCATGAGATGGTTCTATGCGCTGGCAAAAAGCAAGTGAGGGTATCCATAGGAAGAGGAGACGTAAAGGTCGGGTCAAGGAGTGTCGGGCATCGAGGGGCCAGTTAGGGATGATGGGGGTTTGAGGAGGGATGCAGGGTTGACCGTGATAATGTAATGTGCGGTGATGGGATGGGACGCTGAGCGGTGCGAGCACAACACATGGGAGACAGGCATGGGCATAAGAAAATGGTCCCGTCTGGAAAGGCAAGGTACAACGAGATGGGAACGGCGCTAGGAGAAGAACGAGGCGGGACGAGCCAGAGAAAAGGAAGCGGGAGGCGTATCGTACTAAGGTATGAGAAACTTGCAAAAGAGCAGGACGTACCGACGTGATCAGAGAGTCAGAGTCAGGCGCCGTGCATGAGATCAGTCAATGACAGCCGGGGGGGCCTTATTCCATTCCACCCTCGGACCTCCTAATGGGAGCGGGAGAAGAAAAAGCAAGAAGCTTAGTGTTGAGTTGATTTGCTGGGCGGAGAAGGCAAAATCTAGTTGCTAGGTACAACTGGTTGTGAGAGTGTCTCGCTCTGCGGGAGAGTAGGGTTCTGAGTGGTAAGTCAGGAATGGCGTGCGGTGCGGATGGCGGTGCGTGGAGGAGGGAAGAGAGAGATCAGAGGGGGGAGGGGAAAGTAACGCGTGTGTGCGAAGTAGATTGTGAGTAAGGTATCCGAAGGCTTCAGTCCACTTGAGCAAAGGCCAGTCCAGTCGGACAAGATACCGCAGGGGGGAAGATGCTGGGCAGCAGAAGCAAGAAGCAAGAGCATCAACAACAGCACAGCAGCAGCAGGCAAGTCCGGACCAGTCAAGCTCCGTCCGTGTTGGCTCGATGTCTCACGTTTTGCCTTCTGACTGCCTCAGTAAAGTGAGGATGGGAGCCCCGCGCGCAGCGCCACATGTACCTGCACCAGCAGAAGTCTCGGGGAGGTTCTGGTGGAGAATGGAGATGCTGTGGATGTGCAGAGGACGGACGTGAATCAACGAGTGAGGTGTTGGCGACAGGGAAGATGTCGACAACAATGAGGGGTGGAGGGGCAACGACGATGTGCTTTGGGGAACTGAAGTGTGGGAGAGAGAGGCGTGCGAGGCGAGGCGAGGCGGGAGTAGGACGATGACAACCCCGTTTGATTTGCCCTTGTTCGCCAGCGTGGAGAAAGATAGTGTAAGGTAAGGTAGAGTTACTCTGTAAAGGAATAAAGTACAGACGAGACCAGGGCGGCCAGAAAAGACCAGCCGAAGCGACGGTGATGACTGTGTGAAGAAGAAGAGGCGGGGCCGAGTACTCACCAGCGCACACTACTCAAGGCAAGGCAAGCCAAAAGAGACAGGGTTTCTCACGGTAAGGCAAGGTACGGCGAGGTTGTCGATGCGACGGTATCCCGACCTCGACGGGCTGTGATTGCCGGACTGAGCTGCGTGGAGTGGCCAGGGCAATTGGCCTCTGGAGTCGTGTGTCGAGCACTTGCACTGCAGGCGAGATGCAGATTGGCTGCTGCGACTGGCGGACTCGAAGCAGGCCCTGCAAGGATGATGTCGGGCGGGGGGAACAGCACCTGCGACGCGGTCGCCGTGAGTGGTGTGCGGTGTGTGCGGTGTACGCCCTGTGTGTGCAGCTTCCGAGGGATTTGCGCTCGTTCTCTTTCCTGCGGAAGAGGAGGCAATTCGGGCAGGGTAGGATACCGCAGTTGGTGGGCAGCGGAACGGACGGTCTGCCTCTTCTGCCTTTGTCGTCTCTCGCAAGAAAAGACGAGGCGACGGGGGTATGTGTGGGTTGGATTTGGGATGGATTGTTTGGAAGATGAGGGGAAGAAGGGAAAGAATTCGGTAGCGCAGGGGGCAGCAGGCAATGGGAAATACCTTACGATGGCGGACGCAGCGGGATGAGATGGAATGGGATGTTGATGGTGGGTGGGCTTAGTACGTACGGCTTAACGTAAAGCAGCTACTGCCAGTACGTAAGGCAACGTCCCTTGACGGTTTCTTTTCTTTTGCTGCTGCGTGGGATTGCTGCCGAGGCGACGACCAAGACCGATAGGATAGAACGGAACAACACAGTTAGAGCAAAGCAGGTTTGCGTTTGGAATTATTTGGGCTGCCCTCCTGCCGGCTGCGTTGGTCGAAGACGTAGCTGGTAAAAGTACTGCTGCTTGCTGACGGGCCACTGACACGAACATGGGTTGACAGATGCAATACGTAGTGCACCCAAGTCCCAAGACCAGTCCCGGCTGGGCAGTCGAATGCCAACCGTACATGCTCTGTACTGTATGCCGCCCAGTCTCTTTCACAGTCTCTCTGTCGGTTCAGGTGTGTGGTTTCGGCAGTAAAAGGACCACGCCAGACGCTACTATTGCTGACTGGCTTCGTTGCCGGATCCCAGGGAACTTCCTGGCTGGACAGTGTCAAGACTCGCTGGGCTGAACAGAATGCCGGCCCTGGGTGACTCTGCACCCAGTGACCTATGATGTAGTCAGCGCCTTGGTAAACCCCCTGCCCGGCGCTTTTTGCAATGGCCTTTTTTTTTTCTGGGTGTCTCCAAATTTCCAGTGCAGTTCCTTCCTCCACCAGAAAGCAATCCACCAAGGGACGTGTGGGTGATGGAGTCTGGGCTGGATCGGTCGGCTGGGCTGGGCTGGGCGGATTCCAAGTGTCTGGCGCCCTGCAGCAGTGTCTGTCTCGTTGTGCCGCCTCTCTAGCTGTGCGAATAGGAAAGCGCTGACAGTGGTTATGTCGCCGGCGTCTTATTGACTGCGTATCAAGCAACTAGGGCCTCCGTGCTAACCACCAAGGCGAGAGTGGCCTAGCTTGATGCGTGGTGGGACCGTATTCGTGGCAGTGTGGCTGGTGCCCAAGCCAAGCAGCAGAAGCTGTGTCAGTTGGCACATGCAAGTGTTTGCAGCGCTTCAGTATCCGTACTGCCATGATGTGCGTTTGCGTGGAGGCTTCCCGTGGACAGGTCGGAAAACCAAAGTAACCAGTACGAGGTGCTCTGGAAGAGCTTCATCCGGCCTCCCCTGGACTCCGTGTTGTTCCTGTTTGGGGCCTCCCCTGGATGTTGGGCACAATAAGCTCGTTGAACCGGCCAAAGTCGCAGGCATTTCCTAGCAGATGCCATGGGTGATGCCGCTCCGCAGGGGCGTGTTCGCCAGCGATAAAGGGCAATGATGTGCCCCCGTCATCCGCTGCGAAACAAACAATGATGATGCCGCGGGGCGGTTACCAAGATGCCGGACGATGGCATTAGGAACTCCTGCCAGTTTGCCAACGTCTGTGTTCTTGTTAGTGTGTTGGAAACCCAACTCTATCCGGTTTGCCCCCACTGGCCGATATTGCCGACTTCTAGAAATATGGACTGAAATGCAAGTCGAGAGCTTCTGATGTGATGACATTCCGCACAGGCCTGCCATTATCATGCCGCGGCCGCCAACATGACCCATGTGCCGCGTCGCCGTGTCTGTTCCGAGTTAGTGTACCTGCCTGTAGCCTCAACTCTGTTGTGTGCTTCTCTGAAGGATCAACATGGCCTGGCACTAAATGAGTTAGGAGTGGTTTCCGTCGCCTCCCCGGATGCCGAGCTTCGGCATACGTGCCGATAGCTCTGTCTGCCAATGAAGGACGATGTGAGATGATTTTCGGGCTACTTGTCACAGCAAGCACTTCGTCTCAAAGATTGTTGCGGTGGTGATAGACATACATTTGATATTGCTTCCAGGTAGGCCTCCGAGGCTGGACGCCCGAGCCCCATTGTGAGCCGCGCATCGCATCGGCTGAGCCACATCGCAATATGGATGTTCACGCCACTGCTTGCGATGGCTGCAGTATCACACGAGGCACGCGCATCGAGATGCCACTGAGTGGTTCGCTGAATCCTCACAACTTCCAAGGCGTCCAAGACCAGACCCTGGCAAACCCTGCATGCCCTGAGGACTCCCCGCGACAATCCAATTGGCTGGAAAAGGGTCATGAGCCACACGTCTGGACGCACTCTTTTCCAGAGCCAAGTCTATGACCGAGTCATCTTGCGAAGATGTCGAGGGACGTGCCGCGAAGCCAGTAAAAAAGTGTGACACTTGACAGCTCAGAACGCGTGGAATAACCTGAGTCTGAAGGAGGCGAATGAGACACGACGTGGTGCTAGCCAGGTTAATCTGGGCAGCTGCGAGTTTGGAAACCACAGTTGGAACCTCATCGTTCGCCGTCATCTGTACCAAAACTCCCAGCCGTGCGGTGTCCAACGGCCTTGTTTCATATCGCACGCCCGTTTGCATCATGGTGCTTCTCCATCTCCCTTTCCTTCGCATTGAGACGCAATCTCTGCCATCTCAACTTTGGTGTTCCAAACCGATGAATTCGCGCTGGCAGGGTTGGCCTGGTAGCAGGCGCATTGAAACTGATGGCCAGGGTTGGCAACAGGGGACCTCGTAGCACACAAATCCCATCTCAGGGCTGTGAATGGTTTGTTGCCATGAAAGAAGCGATTCTACAAGCACTCTATCGAAAAAGAGTAGGGGACATTGTCCATAGCCTGAAGATCGCTTTCAGGTGGTTGACAAGGCGAACCCAGGCTTGCCGTCAAGAAAAAACAGGCGGCCAGCTGTTTGAGCGGTGTATTGGCAGGGCGAACGATAGGCGGGCCGCACAGAAAGACGTGGATATCCCGGCAGTCGACCGAACAATGCAGTCCACCTGGTGCGGTCGCGGCCGAACGATGGACATTGAGTTTTGGAGCCGCCAAAATGTATGCATCGAGGCTTTCGCGATATTGCCATGTTCATGCCTCGTACTTGGAGATAGACAACCTCTTAGCTGGAGTCCCTGCAGCCGCGGCCGCGCCAACGAATACCGTTGAAGCAATTGCCAAGTTGCGAGGCGGCAGATTTACACCCGGCTGTGGGGACGCGGCAGCAGGCGTGGCGGCGACCAGCGCGGGCCGGCGCCAGTAGCAGCAGCTTAAATGCTGGCGTTGATGATGGTGATGACGGCAGCTTGGTTCAGTTTGCCTGTATTTCTATCATGGTCTCGCAAGCGTGTCTCCCTCGTGCGGAGGGTTGACTAGACCAGTGGTCATTGGGCGCGTACGATGCGACTTAACCAGGGCAGAGGGTTCCTGGTATCGAGGAAGGATTGGAGGTGAATGTCTTGCGAGTCGGCCAAGTCTCTGAGTCTCGAAACAAGGCTCTAGCGCGAATTCAAGTCGACAAGAAACAGTAGCGCGGTTATGCAGTATGCGAAATGGTTGGCCATCAAGCTGTGCCTGTGTAAACTGCACAAGCAGCGCTTACTTGGTGGCGCGTGCTTGTGCAACGACTGCGTCGTCCATGGACGCCAAAGTCAAGACTGGGATTCAGGGAACGGCTGCGTCATCGTCGAGGTGCGAACCTGTGGCTGCATGGAAGAGTGTATCTTGTATCCGTACAGCAGGATTGGGATGCGTGACAGGCCCAAGTGCTGAGCAGAATTTCGCGCAGGGGATCCGACCGCCGTGTCTGAAGTACTGTACGCAGTACTATGGTAGGTAGTAGTTGGCGGAGGAAACGTCAGGCGCAGATCCGAGTTCCGGGGGTTAAGCTCTTTGAAGCCGTTGTATCGTCGGATATGCATCGAGGTCGTTTATTTTTGCAAAGTTTTCGCAAAGACTAGCCAAGGGTTTCGGTTGCGCCGGCTGTTGATGATTGTCCCAAGACGACTGCAAACGGATGTTGTTGGCTGACAGAGACCACTCGCAGCACTCATGGTAGCCAGGGCCCAGGAGAGAAATTCCACAGCAGATGGCCAAACGGGGAAAAAGGGCTGCTCACAAAAAAAAGATCGGACTTGGAAGCTGCAGTGTGTGGGGAAGTCGAGGGAGGGGAGCTGCTGCCATGATCAAGATCGACGCCGCTGAGGTCATCAGGAGCTCAAAAGTGGGGCTTCATGGAGCCGTGGATTCGTAACCATCTGCACTGCTCCTGCAGTGTTGGTGCACCGCTGCTGCACCTGCTGCACCTGCCTCAGTACCGAGTGCTGGAAAGGGCAATCACTGCAGCCGAGTTACTGCGGGTAGGAAGGCGGCACGGGGACGCGACTGCTTGAATTGGACTTTGAGAAGTCACGATGCTACCTGCTGCTGCCACCGACGCTGTCGCCCTTTCTGTTTCCGTTGTGCCGTCTGCTGCAGCTCTCCAATTGGCAGCCGCGGATTGTCAACCGCAGCCCAATCCAGACGACGAGCCGAGCCCAATGGCAATAAACAAGAAAACCAACGGCCAGCTAGCCCGTCTTAGGAGACCACCTAAGCAAGTCCAGGCCTCCAAGAGCCCAGGCTAGCTCACCGCAATCTACGAGAACAAGGCCATGATATTATGCGCCCTGGAATTGTCCAAAACATTGTCGACAGTCATCACGAATCAGCCAACGAAGTCGCGCAGTAACAAACTCAACGCTAGCAGAAAGTACCCTCGCATTGCAACTGGGCCTCCGATGGGGCTTCGACGTCAGGAGATATCAAGGGTCTTTTTTTTTCTTCCTTTTTCAGGTCGTCAGTCACATCACGAGTCGTTCAGAGATTTGCAATTGCTGCAGTCACGCAAGATACTGCAGCTGCACCTTCCTCCGCGGGGTGCGGTCGCGAAAGACTCAAGCCACGCCGATCACGGATTTTCCCCGACCTGCCAGCCTCGACGAAGCCCAATGAGCAGCCTCACCAACCATCCCGCCGCATCCACTCTGTACGTCCCCCTCCCGCACAACATTCCTCTGGTACGGATACAGCCATCTAACGAATGCCTTCCTACAGTAGCACCCTGGGTCTTCACCGCCCGCCTGTTTCCTCGCTGACACGCTGAGCAAGCCACAAGCCCCCGCTGGTCTCCTTCCATCGCGCCCGCCTCACTCATGTCATCATCCTTCGACCATCTACTCGGATCAAAGAAGCCGGATCGGTCACTGTCAGCCACCATAGCGATCTCCCTGAAGATCCCGACAAATAACTCCGCGCCAACCACTGCCGCTAGAAGCCTTAGTAACGCAGACAAGTGCCGTCCGCCGCCTTGCTGGATGTTGGGCATGAGCACCCAACAGCCCTACTATGCCTATGCCGTACATCGGGCATTACCGGTCTTCTCAGTAGCGCCATCATGCGAGATGGCTGGCCTCGACTGTGGGCGTCGACTCCTCGATCGCGCTTTCGACGTCCACCGCGAGGGCGAGGAACTGCATCGCGCCAGAGCCGCAAATGACGATTGATACCAGCCATCGTCCGTCTGGCCCGCCCGGTCCGCCCGGTCCGTGTCAAGCGCGCAAAGAGATGTTGCTCGGTGGCCTAGGCCTGAGCCTACGGACCTCCGGCATCACCGCCAAAGATGTGGAAATATCCAACAGATTGGAGGCCCGTTTGATGCAAGTCGCTGTTGCCGCCACCCGGTCCCAACATCTTGGGACAGAGGCGTCTTTGGTATCCGCTCCGGCCATCGCGGCGCCCTTGGGCGTCAGGCATGCTGCCCTGCATATGTCCGGAAACCACAGCCTGCGTCGGGGATGCATTCGAGCAGTCCCAAATGTCGCCGCCTTGACCATTCGGCCAAGCCGTCAGTGAAATTGGTCCTAGAGGGCCGAATCGGGCCGCCGCCAAGGTTCCCGACGATTTCAAGATTCTGCAATCGGGCTGCCAGGGGCATGCATTTGCATGCATTCATCCTGAACAACCGGCGTTGCTAATTCCCCTCACCATTGTGCCGCAACGCCGCTGGCGAGCCTCAGAACTTGCATTTTCATATCTATCCTGCGCAATGGCGTCGAATCCAAGATCGCTCCCAAAGCCACCGAAATGTGACGATGGCAAACTCGAGCGGAAACGCCCGCGACTCCTTTCCACGATGAATATTTGCGCCGGCGGCTAATTCATCGAGGGATGACTACCTCTCCAAATATGACCTTCCTGCTGTCTAACACCCCTGCTCCGGAGGTAGCTAGTATTGGACTGAGCCGCATCCTCCAGCAGCAAAGGCTCTGACACCTCTGCGAATGCTCCAATCAGGCCAGCTGCAGCTTACATCTTCTCGCTGACTCTCTCGTGCCTACTGGACGGAATATACTGTGAATTGAGAGGCACATCTTATGGGTGTGCCAGCCGCCACGTCTCCTGTTGGAGTGTTGGAGTGTCCAGCTGACACGCCGCAAGGCTGCTGTCGCCATGAGAGGGTTCCCAGTTTTGATCATGATATTTGATCTTGACACAGATGCCTCGCTTTCCTCTTTCACGTCCAATCGCTGCTGAAAATTTGCTACTCAACGTGCCCGAACTCTGTTGAAGACGGCCCAAAACGTGTCCCGCCCAGAAGGTTGATAACAAGGGAATGCGAGGCCTCGCTGCCGGTCTCAAAATGGCCTTCTTGGAAGTGCAGCAATGGCTCAATGCTGAGGACACAAACTTCCGGTGCGTGTTGCGGACAGTGGTGGCGGGATGCCCTCCCACTCGCGCGCTGACTTACCTATCTCATCAGGTCCATCCCGCTCGGCGGTGTTGTTGTGCTGGGCATTGTGAGCATTGTGGCCTTGTCCAGGGCCATCAACATGTATCGCGCGGGAATGGCCGTGGAAGAAGCTCTCGTGAAGCATGGTGCATACTGAGGGTGGGATGGGTTGCGGTGCCTGGATTTCCGATCATGTTGTGAGAGATTCGCAAACGCGTAGACTAGGGCAAGCGAGGTCCTTGTTTAACGTGGCCGTGTTCTGGGTAGTATTTTGAGCGGGTTATTCTCATGTGAATTATCATTGCCCCTGTCGTTCAGATTCTAGTTTATTTAGCCTTGTATGTCTATCTCAGACTGCAGGAACCACTGCCGATGGTGATTGGGAAGTTCGAGAGTTCAGAGGGCCCTTCTATACATCTATTCTTCCAGATTCTGTAGGAGACATAATATCCATTCATGCCGGGCCCCTCTCTTCCCATCATGAGACATCAACCTCATCCTCTCCAGCTACAGAGTCACCATGTGAACGCCTCGCTCTTCACCTCCCCTCGACGGCCTCCGCCACCTCCTCCCTCCGCCTCCGGAACCCATCCAAGATAATCCTCATCATCTGCCCATTCGTCGCCGGAATCTCCTTATCCCCCACCCTACCCGCCCTCACCTCCTCCTCCGTAGCCCACACAAAATCCTGGTGCTCCTCGGGGTCAATCCTCACCGCGCCTTCTACCTCGCCCTCCTTGGTCTCCACCTCGACCTCGAACGCGAACCGGCAGAAGAAGATCTTGCCCGTGCGGTTCGTGAACACGCTCCCCGGCTCGCGGTCCGCGCCCTCGGTGACGACGCGCACGATGCGCGTCGCCGTGAGCCCGGCCTCCTCCCACAGCTCGCGCGCGCAGGCCGCGAAGAGCGAGGCGTCCTCCGGGTCCGCGGCGCCGCCGGGCGTCTCCCACAGGTTCGGCATGCTGTCGTGCGCGGCGCGCTGCAGGAGCAGGATGCGGTTGGACGGGGAGAAGACGAGGGCGGCGGTCGCGAGGCCGTCCCAGGTCTTGTTGTGCGTTACGAGCCACGTTGAGGCTGGGGTGTTGTAGGATTCGAGGGAGGGGGGGTAGGTGAGGGTGAAGGATGGCGGGGGCGGGCGGGGTGGTGAGGTTTGGGAGGTGGCCATTTTGGTGGTTGAGTTGGTTTAAGATGGTAAAGATGGTGATGGGATGGATGAGTTTGGTGGCCGGTGAGGTTGAGGTTTGAGAAAGGTGAGCCGGACGCGGGGCCGGTGCGGTTTTTTAGCTTGCCGTGGCGGGGGCTGATGGCGGTTGCCTCGCGGGCTGACTTGCGGGCTGGAATAGGGCGGACTGCTGCCTAGGTGGTTGAGGTTTTCGATTTGTTTGAAATGAATGTCGTGAGTTGAGGAGCTGAACATGAAACGGCAAATAAAAATGCGGGAGGTTGTATCTTGTTCCACTTGAGGCGGCGGGGTGCGACGGTCGGTGTCGGCTTTGGTGGGGTCGCTTTCGGCGCCGGGCCGATGCGACGGTGTTTCTTCCTTCCGGATGGTATGGTGACATTAATACTTAGCACAAAAACATTCAGACTCCAGCTAGCTTCATCTGCAATTTGCAATTGTCTTATAAATATTGAGCGCCGTTGCTCGCTAGCTGAGCATCAATAGCAGCAGCAGCAGTCGAAGTCGAAGTCGGACGTCGGCGGGAGGCCAACGTCGACTTTCAAGGTCGGCAGAGCTCTTCTAGTCACAGCCGTAGACTTACTTATACCTGAGTGCATTTGGCGCCGTATACCGGCATAAGTATCGTCGGCGTATTCAAGACTATTGCAGCACCAACGTTGGCGGACCTCGCGCCGACAGAATGCGGTAGGTAGTACGATGTTGAGCCTCGCGAGAAGTGCCCTTATGCTTCCCGTTCCAACAAGATATATCTTCTATTCAATATTAATAGAAGCCATGTGACAAGGTGTTCAGGCCCTAATTTATACACATCGACCTGAAGCCATCAATGGTCGCGGTGTTCACGTCCTGGGCCACCTTGCCCTCGGTATTAATGCCGGTCTTGGCTGCAGATCCTTAGCCAGCCCAAACGAAACAAAAAACTTTTAAGGAAAAAAGAGGCGTTAGAGTTTGAAGAGTCGGGTTCAGTAGAGAAGGACTGATCGTCATTGCCGAAAGGTGATCCATTCGCAGACATAGGTATAGCTGGTGGTGTTTCCTGTCATCTCAGTCCGTGGTCCCCAGCTCTCGGAAACCATACTCTGACTATTCGGCATAAGAGCTCACACTTCTCTGGGATTGTAGCCTAGATCATCCCCTACGAGTTCTCTCTCTTGGAGGACGAGGGCCTGTGTGTTGGTCAACTCACTACCCCAATGTTGAAAATCGCCAAAACTTGGGTTCGTCTTTGAGACTTTCCCTGCCGAATGGCCTCACACTACTTGTTTACCATACTTAACGGTTCAGAGGACAGTATTTTTAGGTATGCCGTTGTGTAATAGTGTCTCCGTTTGCCTCCGACGCCAGACGATAATGGTGTCGAAGTCTTTGGAGTACAGACAGTTGCGACAACTTGTGTGGGTGCGCACCCTGGTCTCTGGAAATGGTCTCCAAACGCTGAAGCATGCCCAATTCTTCATTTTATCTCGTCGCTTACCGTCTTCATCCGCAGACTGTCTATGAGGAATATGCTGCTAGTATACACCCTGAGCACGCCATCTGGGTAGACATCAAGAATCGCGTCCACTTCTGCAGATTCATCAATCACAAAAGGTGTGACGCTGTCCGGGGTGGATGAGATGAACGCATTTTATCGATACTTCCCATTTCTGTCAATCAAACAATTAGGATACAGTGCCCTTATATGCTCATTAGGCACAGCCTCTTTCGTGAAACGGTGGTAGGAATCTCCTGGTATTTTCTCCCCACAAACCCAAAGAGAACACTATCCCAAGGCGTGTGTCTTAACAAGGCTGATGCAAATGTTGTGTGATTGCTTCCGGCCCATGACCTACCACGATGATGATCTCTTGGAGGCCTTGAGTCTTCTGGGGCATGTCTTTGTCTGTGACGGTTATACCGACATACGCCTTTTGGTGTCCTTCATCTCAATCTAAACTTTTCCTTGCGAGGGCATTCAGAACAATGAGCTTGATCTTGACAGGGTGATCGCATGAAAGCGAATAAAATCTAGTCCACGACATAAGACAGAAACTAGGCGACGATCAGTTGGACTGTTTTGTACTCTCAACTTCCAAACACCTGCCTCATGGGGAACCTGGGACTTTGATCTGCTAGATTCGCTTTGCAGATGAACTCCTGTCGCTAGATAGTGGCACTCATATGGTCAGAGAGCTCAACAGTATACAGAGTTTCTTAGAGAGATAGGAGATGCAGGCTGGAAGCATCCGACGACTTCAGTATATAACCTCAACAGGCGCGAGGGCAGACCTCATTCTAGCAACAAATGCGGTTTTGTTGGGTACGGGGCATTTACACCAGGAGGCCAGAAAACACCATGAACAAATATTTTACTATATTAGAAATGACCCGTTAAGTATCAAACGAAAGCTTGCGGTCAGACCGTCCCTCATCCACGCCTCTGCCTGCTTATCAAAGATCATTCGGCTCGCCTTCTAGCTAGACTCCACGCCTATGGCCGCGATTAATGGCCATATGTACCTGTATCAGAGAAGGTTGGAAGCCCGTATGACGCAGGAACTCCGTATGAGCGCGTGTATTACTACCCTGGAAAGGAAAGGAGGCCCAAGCTGTGTGGTCCATGTCTGTGAGGTGGACAGGCATTGGAATATTACTCTTAGCGTTGGCCTGGATTGATGGCGAGTGTGATCCTGGATTAGTATTCAGACATGTGTCATATATTAGTCTCGACTCTTATCAAGAAAATATAGGCGAAACCGAACCCGACCGATCATGTATCCCGTCTTAGTGCTAGATAAAGCTGCAATGTTGAGTCTCAAGCCACCTGGATCAACGGGAAAGCATCACATCAATCCACTATATTTGTTGCTTCAATCATTGTTTTGCATTGTTTCTCGCCACATATTCGTACTCACAGGTCAACTTCGCCGAGGCCCCTAGAGTTGGCGGATGGCGTCATGTGGCACGTCAGAGACTGTGACTCTACATGAAAGTCCTTCCAAAATCCAGGCGCAAGACTGGCTATTAAAAAGACCCGAATGAGTAGCTAGTATGTTTATTTCATGAACGCAGCGGCATGACGTGCAATGTCTGCTGCTTACGCACCTACCTGTCTGGGAAGAGCTGGGCCGTTGCATGCCGCCTCATTTCCCAACAGGGGCTTTCTGCAGCATCGAAGGAATAAAAAAGCGTCACTTTGAGTCGGTTTCCTTCGTCAGCTTCCATGGTGTATACGCATAGGCATAATCCAGTTCCGTGCCGCGGACTGGGTTTGAGGGTTGCAGGCTCTTCGCCTCAGACACCGAAGAATCGACTCGGGAGGGGAGACGTGATCGAGAAACATCATTACAATGGCTCCCGGATATTGTGTCAATACGTTTGAATGGGGTGATCGTGTTTTTTATAGGCACTTCGATATCCTCAACAGCAGGAGACGCTGCCCGGAGGCTTGCGCCGTTGCTTCCCAGAAGCGTTGGAAGACTGGCGGGTTGCTGAGTTTACACAGCACACAATGAGCTGGTGTTCGCCAACTCCAGTGAGGTTGTGGAGTGGTGGACCTGAACACCGTTATCGTGCGTGAGAATGGTTACTGGGCGGATACATGTAAGGAAATCAAATTTCTATTTTCACCTTGTCCCTTCCACCTGCTATCCCGCGTGTGTTTGGCTTGGTATTCGGGCTGCCTTGGGCGCGAGCGTAACGCCGCACGCGTCGTAGGAAACAGACGTCTAGAATGCCACCAATCGAAGCTAGCATTTTAGCTGAAGCTAGAACTGGGACAAACAAAAGATGACATTTGGTCATAGGAAGAGTATAACGAGACGGACCAGTTGAATTTATACTGGCGTCTCTAAGGTGTGTCCAACCCTGCCCAGGCAAGCGGCGTTGCCCAGCAGTCAAAGTCCGCAGAACCTGCTCACAGCTACCACAGCCAGGACGGGTGGTCGAGGGGTAGTTGTGCGAAGACTAGCTGGTGTTGACGTTCCGCGGTTAGTCGTCGTACGTACCTTTCGATTCTCGTCCTGGCCACTCTTTTTTGTATTCTTTTTTGTCTATTGTTTCAGCAACCAATTGTTGCCGCCCAAATAATGAACTTACTACCTACTGAAAGGGGTACGGCCATGAAGATGTCGAGTCGGTCTAGCCTACCAAAAAAGCCCTCCCGGTCTTTCAACCACCGAGTCGTCATCGCCATTCATCGCCATCGTCGCGACGCAGGTCATACGGCGTGGCCCTCCTCCCCCAACTTCCGGGGTACCCATCGCCCTGACCTCATCAGGACTCTCCTGCCGCTCATCTTCGCGACGCTGGCACGCTGCCACTCACGCGCAACCTCATCCGCCGGCCTCATCTCGCCCTTGGGCACCAGACGCACTGGATACACCCTGCCCCTTCCCCCAAGTCGTTCAGCCGCAATATTGACTAAACTCCTTCCATAGTAGGTCCATCCTCGAAATCCATAATTGGCTCCTCCGCGACATCATCATCGTCAGGATAAAACCGATTCGGCCGCTCACAGTTCCGGTGCCGCCCACTCTTGCTACGCCTTCTTTTACCCTTCTCCTCGACCCAGGTGTCCCTCGGCGGCCGCGTCTTAAGATCGAGCTCGAGGTACTGCGCAAACTTACCGAAGACGCCCCCTGGCGTGTGGTCGAGCTTGCCGTTGGGGTAGACAAGGCAGTTTTCGCCGCAGGGGACGTCGTGTTTGGAGTTGCGGGCGCTACGGACGGTTTGGAAGCGTGGGCGCGAGGGCCCGGGTTCGTCGGTGACTTGGCGCGGCATGGTTGATGTGTCTACGTTAGGCTTTTGTCATGATGGACACCCAGCAGCGGCGGGCGTACTTTATATGAGTAGATACACGACGTCAATCACTGTCACGCTTCCAGCCCAGCCCCCTCAGTGACTGAAATTACGGCACACATTCACGACCAATGTACACAAGTATGAGAGAAGCTCTTGATTGTGACTTCCCTACGTTTTCTATCTAAGGTGCAATCTTCCATCCAGAACCGTCTGCCATCCAGTATCCGTGTAAAAGCCTTGCCAGCACTGCCGTGCTGATTCCTGAAAGTAGCCCTGTACCAAACCATTCCAGAAAAACCGTTTTTGCAACCAAATTCCAAATCCCTGCGGTAAAAGAGTGACAAACTAGGCTGTCCATTAAGCGAGGATATCAATGATGATGAGCGTAGAGAGGTAATGACTGTGGGTGTTTCGTGACAGTAGGAAAAGAGGAAAGAGCCTTGACCGCGATGTGAGGGAGAAGAGGGGTCGATCCGTATTAGTCGTACAAGTATAATGTCTGCTGAAAATGCATGCTTGAAAGGAGCTGTTGATCAAAAGACCAAAGAAGAGCTGGCGACAATAGAGTCGGAGTGAGAACAAAGGTCTGCATGCGATGCGACGTGACAAGAAAGGGCGGTGATGCAAAGCCCGCGTGGGTAGGTAATGAACGTGAGAGGGCGGCTTTGTGTGTGAAGGCCGTTGCCAGATAATGATGTTAGTGTCAAGGGAGTGTGGATGTGCCGCAGGGTACAGCTACAGCGACATGGTCAGACTGTCGGGTCCCTTTGCCATGCTGTTAGGTGAAGCGACAGAGCAATGGAGTGGATCCTGCACAAGTCAGACTGATTTTGTCACGGTGTGAGTAACAGTAGGGGAAAGTACTCACAGATTCATGCTCGCAGCTTAAGCATAGGCCGCAGCGAATTCATCAGCGACCCAGTCACCACGGACCTCGTCCACTTGGCTCAGCACACACTTGGGGAGGGAATCGTGGAAAACAGGATCGCTGCGGTACACGCTGTTATCGAGGAGATAGACAACATCCTGCAAATGGCGAGACGTGTTGAGCAGGTTCTGGGTCTGGCTCTGAGCCACACAGTAGTTCTGGTAGTGGAATTCTGCGTTGCTCTGATAGAACAGACAGTGCTGCTGCAAGGCGACATTGGCCTGCTGGAAGTTCAGGTTGGCCTGCTGGACAACGTTGTAGGCATGGGCCATGCGCTGGGTCTCACGGCGAGCATTCTGGGCCTCCAGATGGGCAGCCTGCAGCTCTCGAGCGAGCATGGGGCTAGCAGAGCGGCTGCGACGGCTAGGGGTAGGACTGTTCAAGATGTCGGGATCATCGAACGAGCCATCCATGCCGAAGGCAGAAGGGCGCTACAACTGTCAGAGAAGAGCAGCTGAAATGAGGGATCGAAAAGAGCTTACCTGGTACTGCTCGGGGGTCTGAGCACCCTCCTTCTCAGTCTGCTGAGAGGTGTGGATGTTCTTGGCGCCGGTATGCTGAGGGTGGATGATGGCGATGCCATCAGAGCCAGCGGCAGCAGAAGCGAAGCGGCCAGGAATGTTGTCAGAGGGACCGACGGGAGCAGTAGCAATGACGGAACTGCGACGGACACCAGAGTTGGGGTCGTTGGTGTGGACGGCGCCAACGCCGCCACCCTGGGCAACAGACTCGCCCATGGAGTGAGCCATGTCAGGACTGGCAGGAGCCTCAACCGCAGAAGGGCGACGGTAGGCTGGCTGGGCAATCATGTCCTGAGGAGAAGCGGGCTGAGCAACAGGGTCAGGCTGCTGGGAGTAGGCAGGAACGATTCCCTCAGCGACCTGCTTACCAGGAGCGCCGGTGTAGGGAATGGTGTAGGGAGTAGCGTTGTTGCCGGAAGACATGATTGCTTCGAGTCTGGAAAGTGTAAGAATGGTGAAACAAGAGATGGGGAAATTTCCAGTGATGATGGTGCTTACCTGAGAGGGTGAAGGTGTTGCGACGGGTAGGTGATGAACAGTGAGAGGTACAGGTGTGTTGCGAACGGAGCGATTCGACGAAGGAGATTCACAACAGAAATCCACGCGAGGTAAGGAAGCTCGTGATGGAACACTTGAGATCTTGTTCGATGTGAACGCGAGAGGGTGGGAGGAAGATTGTGTGAGGTTGTGGAAGAAGTTGTGGTAGAGATGGTTTGTGAAGGTAGAGTAGATGGAGGAAGTGGCGGGTGGTGGAGGAGAAAGAGAAGTAAACAAAAGGTGGGTGTGGGATAGAAAGTCTTCTTCGAGGCAGAGGGTGGTGAGGGCTGAAGTGAAAAGTTTTCGAGGGCTAGCGGTTGAGGTGGTGGTTGCAGGAGGAAGCTAGAGGAAGGAGCGCGAGAGAGGAAGGCGCTGCTTCCTGTTCGGTTGGTCTTGCTGGCTTGGAAGAAAGAACCTTTCGCAGTCGAGAAACAGCTGCCTGAAGATGGTAGCTCTTGAACCTGCTGTCGATGGCTTTGACTTTTCGATTCGGTACTTGATAGTTGACGAGACAATAGGGGAACGAGAGGAAGCAGGAGGCTCAAGTTCGACGAAGTTTTTTTTTATTTCGACTATTTTTGAGTATCAGGTTTTCAGGATTGTTCTTTGGAGAAGAAATCGGCGATGGATGCTTGAATCAGCGAAACTGCTACTATGCCCGGTTTGGAAAACTAATTGGAATGGCAAGAGACCTCATGCTCCCATCACGCAACTGTTCTTTAGAGGTATCTGAGGCAGATTGATGGCGGATCTGGGACGCGAAGCCTCATCGTACCACATGCAATATCTAAAGGATTTTCGATACGAAACTGACAGTCGTTGATGGGACCACAGTGTTTCGTAGACTGCGTGAATCACTCGACTTAAACCCGCTGCCATGACGGAGGAGGCAGATGGTGCGAGATTGATAGCGGCCAGTGACGGGACCAGTCTTGCGGTGTCAGCGTGAGGGCAAGCAGAAAGTACGCGATCCTGTCGCATTAAATTTAATAAATCCGCATCCTCATGACGGGAATCGTTCAACAAGTTGCGATGCGGTCAATCGAGGGCCGTCACGTGGTGTATCGCATCTTGCACCAGACGACGGGAGGGCGGCCCCACCCGGACAGCCAAGGACGGCGCTAGGGTGTGATTTTTAGCGGCGAGCCGCTCAAGGGACGGGGTGGCCGAGTGCGCCATGGAGCTGGCCGGGGGTGTTACCTAAGGCAGGTACCGCCGGGTGGTGTCTTGGGTCAGCCCCCAGGGCAGCTCTTTCCCAGCCGTTGCATCCTGCCATCTCCAACAGCCCACGGGAGCTGAGGGAAAAGAAGTGGCTTGCTTCCAATCGAGGTTCTGGCACCGACATCAACTTCAACATCTCGTAGCCAGCACGCCATCTTGAGACTCCCGCCAATGGATCCCGTAACGCAGCAAGACAGCCCCTTATCCATCGCAGCTAATGTCGCCGGCATCCTTACTTTTATCGTGGCAATTTTTGCCGCTGTCTATGTCAGAATTACCTATTTGCGGAACAGCGACGACGAGTATTTCAGAGTTAAGGCCTCCCTGTCGTGGTTCAAGACAGAGTCCACATGGCTGTCCGAGCTCATCCGCGCTGCCGGTGAAAGACCAGGAGCCCGCCAACAGCACCAGCCAGAGTACGCGATGTATTCGTTTGTCATGGACGACCTGATCAAGCTGGAGCAGCGCATCCTCGAGCTCCTGGCTGAAGCCGAGACCAAGGCTGCCAGCCAAGACGCCGAGAACCAGGGAAACTGGACGCTTGTGCCAAGGAGCTGGACCTTCACGACCAACGTCGCCATGGCCTGGCTACCTGTTCGTTCCAAGACGCTGGAGCTTGTGCGACAGAGGGAAGCATTGACGGGACGCGTCCAATTCACACAGATGAGCATGATTTCCTCGTAGGCACTCCACCTCTACTTCGTTTGCTTCGCTGACGTTGGCACAGGAGAATTCGCGATTTGGAGTCAAAAACCATCAGGACGGAGTCGAAATCCGAAGAAAGCTTTATTCGAATGGAGAACCAGATTGCCGAGCAGAGGGCCCAGATCCATCGGCTGGAAGACCTCGTCTATCGTTTGATGCACAGAAATCGGCTTGGGAGCGCAGCCGACCACCCGTGGGTAGACACGTCCAAGTCGCGACGGGTATCAGCTTCCTCGCAGTTGAGCCCGACGGAAAAAAGAGGACGTGAGCGCCAGCCAAGTTCTCGGCCAGTGAAGAGGGCAAGATCGAAGTGACGAGCAGTCGATACCTCATTTGATGTCGTACCCTCCTTGCAGTAGGAATGCCCCTGCAACAGCCAGACTCGCCGCAGCCACCGCCAGATCCAATTCGAGTACAGACCAAATCCACAGACAACCCAGTGTCGGAGCTTGCTTAAGGGTCGCAAGATAGCTGTACTTGTTGGTGATATAGATCAAATAGCACCCGGCAGAAACGCTCGTCAGAAAGAAGATGGCCTGTCGGATGGGGTGCTGGAAACGCAGCGGAAGCCCCGGGATAACGGTCGTGCTGGAGCGGTGTTCGTGGAGGTTGTGGAAAAGGAAGAAGAGCACTGGTGGAATTCACAGTCAGTTGGATGTCCATGGTTGCATACATCAATGGCATCACTCACCAAGAAACGCGACCACAGTCCTGGTGATGACACTTGGCCATTCGATTGCAATGGCATATTGGTTCTGGACTAGCACATCAAAAGTACCGTGGACCATGGCAAGGCTGACTGTCCACAGCAACGAGTCCATTATGCGGTCCACGAAGGGAGACAGCAGGGCGTCATCCTCTTCGTCCTCCTCCTCTCCGTCACTTTCATCGGTGGGCCTGTCTATGCGGACAGCACCCTTGGGGACCTGGCCGCGCTTGCTCCTCGCCTCATCCTCCTGCTGGAAAAGGCCCCTTTCTTGGGCCAGCTGGAGCAGCGTCGCCTCACTAGGCCCAGACCTGTCAGGCTGGGCCAGCGGGATGCTCTTGGGGTCCTTCACCTTCTTCTCCTTGATCTTCTTCGCCATGGTTGCGGCTCTGGCGGTAGCGTAGCTCCTGTTGTTTCCAGCGGGGACGGTCCGGCCAACAGCTTCAGCTTCACCGTCTACGTAATCGATCGTGGATGGATGGATGGATGGGACGCTTCGGTTGGTCTGGATTGGGATGGCAGCTGCAGGGAGGCCGTCGTCTTAGTCGTCTCTCGTCGTCTGATCGCGTGCAGTTAGTCGGCTGACAAAGAGGCAGACACACAGTCTCAAATCAGAGTTCAGCGCAAGACAGGTAGGTCCGGGTTGCTCCCCGCTGTCAGCTACTCTGTACCAATGCTGTCGCTGTCGCCAGAAAATAACCTAGGCTCTGTGCCCCTGCAGGTCATCGGATTGTTCGTGGCATGTTGCAGCTCGGATTAGCCAATCAGCGGGGTCCGCTAGCCCCTCCAAGAGGCATTAGCCCTCGACACGAACTGTTCCGATCTGTCACCGCCTTCGATTTTTGGATGCGACGCACACCGCCCGCGACGCCGCCTCAACGAGCCCAGCACTTTGCGTAGTCCACTTGTCCACGCCCACCTCACGCCGCGGTCCCAGGTCCAGGTTCCAGGCCCCAGCAACTGCGCTCAATTTCCCAGCCGATCGTGTGCCGCTACCAGTTCTTGACAAGCACCCACCCACACCACCGTCCAAACCAACCTGCTCTGCCCGCCCGCCGCCGAACCTTCCGATTCTTCTTCCATGCGACGATAACCCTTCCTGCCTCTGATATCCAGCATTTAGCAAATCTTGACGAACTCTAGTAACCTTTTTTTGAGAAAATTTTCGCTTCTTCCTCTGCGACCCGCCGACATCCCACATCCGCAAGCCTTCCCGAAAGCTCACGGCCGGCCGACACACGCCACACCGCATCCACGACCGAAGCACTCAACCAAGCCACCCCGCTCGGTTTTACTCACCGGCCAACCTCGAGCGTCGACCTGAAAATACCCGAAAACTGAGTTGTTGCAGGAACCGCCACCGTGAATATGGATTCTTTGCTCGTGGGGGCCCTGATTGTGGCCGTCACGCCTGCATTGTATATTTGCCTCGGCCCCCTCGCAGCGTCGCAGTTACCCGCTCTCGAGAACAAGAGGGTCTGCCTCTTGATCGCGCACCCAGACGATGAGGCCATGTTCTTTGCGCCGACCGTCCTCGCTCTTACGCGACCGGAGACGGGCAACCATGTCAAGATTTTGTGTCTGAGTTCAGGTAGGAGAAGAATGATGACCGCGGGGTGCGACAGGTGGGGCAATCGAGCGCAATGGCTGACAAGGGGGGCAACCGTATAGGTGACGCCGATGGCCTCGGAGAAACTCGCAAGAAGGAGTTGGTGAAGAGCGGCATGAAGTTGGGCTTGCGCCAGGAGCAGGATGTTTTTGTTATTGACAGCCCGTAAGTCTTGGGCCCACCCGGCTGCGCTCACCAGCCTTGTGTGCGACAACACAAACTGACTAGTTTCTGCAGTGATTTCAGGGACTCCATGACCGCCACCTGGGATAAAACCAAGGTCGCTACACTCCTGAACCGCGCCTTTGCGCCTCACTCTGCTCGCCAGCGAGCTGCTGGCGAGGAACCGGATGCCAACATCGACATCTTAATCACTTTCGACTCGACTGGAGTCTCTTCCCACCCGAACCACATCTCTCTCTACCATGGTGCCCGCACCTTCATCTCCACTCTGACCGATAACGGCCGCTGGCGCTCGCCCGTGGACATGTACACACTGACTTCAGTAAACTTCTTGCGCAAGTACAGCACATTCCTCGATGCGGTACCAACAATTTTATCATGGGCGATCACGCCAGGAAGCAACCCGCCGAAGCCGCCAAAGAAGCTACCGAAACCCAAAAAGGACAAGGAAGATAGCGACGACGATTCCGACTCGGATGAGGATGAGTCGGACATTGAGTACCACCCAAGCCGGCTGGTGTTCATGAACAACTTTGGTCCCAAGGGTGGATATTCCACGGCGTGGGCCGCCATGACCATGGCGCATAAGAGCCAGATGGTCTGGTTCCGGTACGGCTGGATCACCCTCAGCAGATACATGGTCATCAACGACCTACGATTGGAGAAGGTCGAGGACATGCCTCCGGTCGAGATGCCGGTGATCGAGGCGCCGCCAGAGGCCAAGCGATCCGAGAGCAAGCGGTCCGAAACCAGGCACCGCGAGAGGAAGCACTCTGAGTCGTCTAAGAAGGAGGAGACCAAGGAGCGGGAGTCCAAGAGGTCTGAGAAGTCTGAGGGCAAGCAGCGTGAGAGCAAGAGGGAGGAAACGAAGCACCGCGAATCCAAGAAGGACGAGACGAAGCACCGCGAGAGCAAGCACGCCGAGCCCAAGAAGGAGGAAACCAAGGAGCGAGAGTCAAAGAAGGAAGACACCAAGGAGCGCGAGTCTAGGAAGGCCGAGAAGGCTGAGAAGTCCGAGAAGCGGGAGGGCAAGCAGGTCGAGTTCGCCCCGATCGAGTCGGTCGAAACCAAGTTCTTCGAGGTGCCAAAGGAGGAGACCAAGGAGCGCGAGTCCAAGAGGTCGGAGAAGCGTGAGAGCCGGCACTCGGAGTCCAAGAAGGAGGAGAAGGAGGATGCCAAGGAGCGTGAGGCCAGGAAGGCCGAGAAGGCCGAGAAGGCCGAGAAGCGTGAGCGTGAGCGTGAACGTGAACGTGAGCGTGAGAGCAAGAGAGAGGAGAAGGAGGATGCCAAGGAGCGCGAAGCCAGGAAGGCCGAGAAGCGTGAGCGCGAGCGTGAGCGTGAGCGTGAAAGAGAGCGTGAGCAGAGGCACTCTGAGAAGCGCGAGAGCAGACACTCCAGCAGCAGACACTCTTCGAGTGGACTTCCCGGAGCCAGCCTCCCTGACGCCAGGCGCTCCGAGCCCAGCTTGAGACACCCTGCCGGCAGCCTCCCTGAAGCCAGCCGCTCCGAGAGCAGACTTCTCGACCCCAGACACTCTGAGAGCTCTCACCCCCCGTCCAGCAGCAGATACGTCGAAGGCAGGCACTCTTCGAGCAAGCGCTCCTCCAGCAGACACTCCGAGAGCAGCAGGATCTCCTCTAGCAGCCACTCTGAGCGCAGACACCGCGACAGCAACCGCGACGGACACCGCAGACGTTCCTCTAGCAAGGTCTCCAGGACCGGCAGCGAGAGATCCTACGCCAGCAGATCTTAGGGAAATCGACAAAAGAGCCATGACGAGTCACGAAGGTAAGGGATGAGAAAAAAAAAGAGAGAAAAAGAGAGGCGCATATACCACCAGAGAAAAAAGTCGAAAAAAAAACGGCACCAACATACCCCCTCCGTCCAACCCACCCACACCATCCCTCTACCACGTTCATGAGCAGGCGTTCGTATCATGAAGCTTACGCATGTCTTTTTTTCTTTTTCGTGTTTTTCATCTGGCTTTTCCTGGTTTTCTTCGCGGCCCACGACACGACAACGACAAAAATCACCACACGATATATGCAAAGAAAAGCTTTTACAAAACCCGAAGAAAAAAGATTGCCCTCCAAGAGAAAAAAGAGAGAGAAAAGTTCATCTAGCGTTGGCGGCTAAATTGAAAGACAAAAGAGAAAATACACCGACGGCATAGCATCATGTATGAACCGAACAGATCTGTAGGAACGAATATTGTTAAAAATCATTTTGCGTCCCTGTTGTTGAATGCATGTGAGTGAGTTAGGTTTTTCATGAGCTGCAGCCACCCTTGCTTGGTCTGAGTGAGTACGTAACAGGCATCTTACAGCAGTCCAATCGCGACTCTCAATTGTCACTTTGGCAAGGTCACTCAGACGTCGTGAAATGCTGAAATTTGATCTCAGATTCAACTCTATTTTATATGCATATGGTCCTCTATGCTTTATGCGACAACTGCCATATATGCAACGTCTTGTGCCTCACCAAAGCAGACTCCTCAGCACTAGCCTCTTTTTGAGTCCGCTCTTCTGTATTCTCCACGCCTCCTCATTCAGCGCGCGGCCAAACGCCTCGTGGTCTTCATCCACCACTCCCTCGTCGGCGTATGTAAGCCCCTTCTCCAGCTGTCCGAAAACACGGTCCGTCCGTTTTCGCACCATCTCCTTCGTCCATCGGTTGAGCCTAATCGTCGTCGTCTCATACAACTGCTTGCCCGACTCCATCACCACGGGAATCAGCGGACGCTCCTCGCCGTCCTGACCCCCGTCAGCCCCGAGATGGGTGTGCTTGGGTTTTGTTCGATCGGGAACGCGCAAAGCTGTGGGCGGACTTCGGGTCACTTGCGACGTCCAGGAATGTCTCATGGAATTCTGCGGCGTCTCGAGCCTCACGGTACCGCCGCTCGTCTTGTACGTGGCCGGGTTCGGTAGGAAGTCCTTGAACTCGGCGACAAAGGCAGGGATAGTCCGCGACGAGAAGGCCTCATTAGACCGATAGAGCTTACTGGACGTCTCAAGCCAAGTCCAGCACCATACTTCTATGGCGAACCATGCGATGTGCTGCTTCACTTTTGCCCGCATGTGGCGTGTAACAGCTTCTGGCGGCGCCGATCTGTATAGCCTCTCGAAAAGAGCTGTCTCCACGTCCTGGCAAGCCGATTCGTACATGGCAACGCCACGGCGCATCTCTTCCCGTGCTCTCTCAACTTGGCGAGATGCGATGAGGTTCTTGACGTAGATGTCGAAGTCCTTGAATTCGGGTTCAACCGGAGTCGCAGACCATCCGTGCTCTCCAGATACCATCATGTGCCAGACATCGAGAACATCTTCAGGGGCGACGATCCTGTTGGAGTCTCCGAGAATCTTGTACTCGGTCGACGCCGGCTTGGAAGCAATGACGTGCGTCCATTCGAGGAGCAAAGACCATGTCTCCGGTGGAATCGGAACTTGATATTTGTGTGACAGAAAAATCATCAGCTTCCGGGCAAGAATGACGTGGCCGGTGCATCCCAATGCATCGACAAGGGCATTCATTACACGTAAGTTGGGTCTGAACAAGAGACCACGGTCTAGCACGCCTCCAACGATGTCGGTATCGCGGTGATTCTTGAAGTCAGTCAAACTGATCCTCCAAGTCGACCACAACTGGCGGAGTAGCTCCCTCAAAGATCCTGCTCTACCGCAGGCAATGAAGTACGTAGAGAGAATATCGCGGTCGACGGTCAGTCGCTTCTTCTTGACGGCGCTGTAGGTACGCCGGATCGGTTGATGTAGACTGAGGACTCTGTGCAAGTCGTGCGTTGGCTGATTAGGCGACCGTCCGTAATACGAGCGTTGGTGTGCGAAGATATTCAGGCGCAGCCTGTCCAGGCGATACAACAGCTTCTTCTTGGCGAAGCGCTTCCTGTGGCCTGTCAAATCGCGAGGTCGCATGCGGACTCTGGCAAGATCACGTTGCATGTAAATCGGCTCAGTGAGGAATCTGGCCTTCATAAACTCGTTGTAGGCCAGCCCACTACTAGCAGTCTTGTTCTGCCCCCCTTCCCTTGACTGCTTCCAGATAGCCTTTGCGGTCTCGATATCCGATGCAGCGCCGGCGCATCGTAGGAGCACAATGTAATCAGACAGGGTCAGGTCTCGCCCTTGTTTTTGACGCAAGTCGAGAACCGAGCGAATTAGCTGTAGCGTGTTGTAGTAAAGCTTGCGGACGCCAAATTCGTTGTCGAGAGATGCAACAGGGCTGAAGTACCCCAGCGCCCTCGAGATGCGAAATCCGTTGGTGACATCGGCTCGCGGAGCGATTCGGAAAGGATCCAGTGATCGCACGAGCTCCGAAAAGGCAGTCGCCGGCAGTGCGATGAGGGCCTCCATGACCTTATATGGTTCATCGTGTGTACCCAGTGCCTTGAGCTCCATGAAAATGTCCATGGTTTTCTGCGACTGGACCGCGCCCAGCAACTTGTCCAGGATCCCGTCCTTTGTCGGTTTCTTGCTTGGTTCGAAGACCTCGCGCAGGGTACTCGCTTGAGAATATCGTCTTGCTGGACTCGAGACATTCGGGGAAGGCTGCTCTGGTGAAGCCCTCGCGGTTGAGGCCACGGTGTGGAGGGTTTGGTGTCTTTGAAGGCATCGTCGTAGTCGCGCAGCATGGACGCGGGAGGGGGTGCCGCGCGGAGGAGAACGAAGCTGGAGGAGCTGCCGAAGGCCATTGGCCTTGGCAGAAGTTGTCATGATGCAGAAGAGGATCGTGTTGGTCGAAGCATTGGACAATCAGGGTCGTTCTGGCGCAGCAGAAGGTGGTGGGCGCAAAAGATGCATCGACGAGAAGATGGAAAACAGCTTACGGCCTGGGCGGAAGAAGAAAATAACAGTTGCAAGCTGTCCCTCCTCCTCCTCACCTACCAACCTACCCTCCTCCTCACGGGTGCGCCCCATCAAGCGAGGTGAGGAGGAGGCGCGCAGGGTAAGCATGGAAGCTACCTGCCTATCTTACCAGCCGGGTATGCGAAGGCAGGTACCTCCCAGCAGCAGACGGGAGCACCTCCCCTGGCTTTACCCCGACTTTCCAGGGCATCGCTCCTCCCCTCCTCGCGTGCTCTTACACACAGCACCTGCCGATGGCTGCTTTAGGGCCCTGCTCCCTTCCAGTCCGCCCCGTGCCACCCCTGGACAGCGGACGGGAAGCGCTGGGGCTGCTGGGGCAGGACCCAGTGCGGCCCACTTTCCGGCGAGCCGTTGCACGGCTGCTGCCCATTGTGGGCTGTTTTATCGGAACATTATAACGACGGCCGCCGACGCCGCTGGCCAATGAGCTGGGGGCGACGAAAATGCACAACTCTGAGTGTGATGTGTGCCTGGACCCACCATTGCTCTCGGCCATCCCAGTTGAGCTGCCGCCTCTCCGTCGATATACGCGCTTCCGACCCGATTGAACGACATCCTTCCTGACCCTATCGAGCCCGCTCTTCCTTTATCTCACCATGGCGGACGTTGGCGACGAGACCTCCCACGTCCAGGAGCCTCTTGACCTGGTCAAGCTCCTGCTCGATGAGGTAGTTTTCGTCAAGCTCAGAGGCGACCGTGAGCTTAAGGGCCGGCTTCATGTGAGTTTTGCAAAATGTCGGGGCTTCCTTCACACTCGCTGACCGTTATATCTCAGGCATACGACAGCCATTGCAACTTGGTACTGGGGGAGGTCGAGGAGACCATCTACGTCGTCGATGAGGACGAGGAGGACGAGGAGGTGAAGGTGAGATGAGAGACGAGACCTCCATCCCGGCCATCACCCACTAACTAAAGGCCCTAGACCATCAGCCGCAAGTCTGAGATGCTGTTTGTTCGAGGTATGTTGTCTCTGTGGCGCGCTCCTGAAGCCAGTATCTGACCCTTTGCAGGCGATAGTGTCGTTCTCATCTCCCCTCAGGGATCTTCATAGCATACTCAAGATCGAGCGCAACTCATTACACCAATTGAAAGCAACCTCCGTCATACCAAAGCGGATACGTCTGGGCCGATGGCCATCTCTTCAACATATCATGCTCTGAGCTTCCCGCCCAGTCGAACAAGCCACCCGTGCCACCAATACCATTGCTGCTATGCTTTCATGCCACCCTGCTCGAAGCTTGGCTTGACCATCGGAGGCCTCTATTTGCGCATACTGCACATCACCTCTCCGAAACTTGCTAAAAGGCAGTGTAGGGAGGTCTTGCTCCTCAGCTGAGGACTGTTCAACTGGTTGGCAAGGCGACTTGGCGCGCTGATTAGATGGGGTTCATGATACGGTATCGCTTATTCCAAGATAGAGAAAATTATACCAATGGAACGCCATGATTCTCATCAACACTGTTCTTAATGACTCGTCAGTCTCGTTTCTGTACCCAGGACTATGTTGGCCATGGCACGAACAAGACATGGAGTTGACAGAAGCAGCACCACAGACGGCGCAACAAACCCGGATGGAGGTGAATACAAAGTGGAAGCCCTCGTTCTGCCTTGACTCACTAATCGAGCGGCTCTTCTCGTAACTTCTGCCCAGTTCGGGGGCCATGCGTAGAGTCACCAGCTATGGGGGCAGCGGGGCTTTAAGGCTGAGCTGAGCTGAGCTGGTGAAGCGTGGGACGAACGCAGAACACAATCCGGGGCTGCGTCAAACAGGCGCATTCCTGTTGGCTCGTGCCAAAGCTCTTATCGATAAGCCCCGCCGAGTTACTCATAGAAGCTGCTGCTTTAACTGTTCTCGGTTGGTGAATGAGGCCAATTGCTGGATCAATTGAATAGCAGGTGGCGTCAACGTTCTGGAAAGTAGTTGTTTAAGATGATATTTCAGTATGATGCGACTCAAAATATTTATTCCAGGGCCAAATGCGAAGCAGGAAACGACATCAAGGTAGATAGATGGCAAGTTAGTCACATCCGATTGCAGCCGGTCGCGGTTCTGTAAAGCAGCGGCGCAACGGGTCAGCTTGCGGCCCCCCCCCTGGCGGGGGTGGAGAGCCAGTAGCGGCAGTGGTCTGTCCTCCTCGGGCCCTTAATTGTCACTGCTCTTTGACTTCGCCGCCTCGAGTCAATCTATGACTCTTTTTTCCACTTGCCAAAGACACCAAATCTAGGTACTGCATCAGCCTTAAAACAACGCGCCGCTCTTCGACCCATCGCCACTCTACCTCTCACCTCCATCATTTCTAGCGTCATTGTCTCCCAAGCTTTGGACAGAGAGCAACTGCGACGCTACATCCAATGATCATCAGGATACGAACGTGAACGCGCCTCCATCACTCCAACATGACGACGAAAAACATCAAATCATTACCGCACGAGAAGCGCAGGGGCGAGGCTGCCCTTAGCGACTTTGCCGACTACGTCGAGAAACAGCAAGCCCTGCGATATCCCTCCGCCGCGAAGTCGACCGATGCCAAAGCCGCCACCGCCGCCGCGGCTGGCACCGAGCACCAGCACGCCGAACTTGACGAGCTCTTCGACACCCTCGACCTCGCTGATGCGGCCGGCCCTGGCGTCCGTCTCAAAGACCTCCTCCTGGCTGCCGACGCCGACAACGACGACGAATCCCTGAAGAAGCTGGAGGACATACTCAACGAGAGGATAACCGAAGGCCACGGCGAGACCGTCTTCGAGCTGGGCTTCGAGAACAATGGTGATTCCATGGCTCTGTCGTTGGAGCAATGGAACGCCGCGTACACAAGAGTTCAGAGGGCGGCGAAGAGGATACGAGCCCATTGTCAGTTGCTCATCACCAAGAATGTTGGCGGCGACGTCGAAGCTCCGAGTGCCAAATTGGGCAAGGACAGTCACTGCAGCGGCAAGATCATGATCCGTCAGTCCCCCGCAACCGTCGAGGATGTTCTCGAGACGAGGATAGCCGTCGTTGGCAATGGTACGTCGGCCTCATCCATCTGCTCTGTTTTTTCCTTCGTGCTTCCGCTCTGGTTTCGCCTTTGGCCCTTTTGCGTGGTCCTGCTTTATTGCCCCTCACCCACTGCATATGACTGACCGATATATGACAGTCGACGCAGGAAAAAGCTCTCTCTTGGGTGTATTAGTCAAAGGCGACCTCGACGATGGCAGAGGTAGAGCACGAGTCAACCTCTTCAGACACAAGCACGAGATCGAGACGGGAAGAACCAGCTCTGTGGGCATGGAGATATTAGGGTTCGATACCGTTGGAGAGGTCGTCACCTCTGACACCCCTGGGCGCAAGCTGTCCTGGGAGGAGATCGGGAAGCGGAGCGCAAAGGTCATCACCTTCACCGATTTGGCTGGTCATGAGAAGTACCTGCGCACCACCGTCTTTGGCCTGCTCTCGAGCAGCCCCAATTACTGCTTGCTCATGGTAGCGGCCAACAACGGGCTGATCGGTATGAGCAAAGAGCACTTGGGCATCGCTCTCGCTCTCAACGTGCCGGTGATGGTCGTTATCACCAAGATCGACATTTGCCCGCCCCAGATTCTGGAGCAGACCATTAGCCAGATCACCAAGATCCTGAAGTCTCCTGGGGCTCGCAAGATTCCCATCTTCATCAAGGACCGCGAGGAGTGCATAAACACCGCCACCCAATTCATCAGTCAGAGGATATGCCCCGTCTTCCAGGTCTCCAACGTCACTGGCGAGAACCTCAACCTAGTCCGGACATTCCTCAACATCCTGCCACATCACGGCCGATATGACTCCGAGGCGCCGTTCGAGTTCCATATCAACGATACCTTCTCTGTGCCTTTCGTTGGCACTGTCGTCTCTGGAATCATCAAGTCTGGTGTCATCCACACTGGAGATAACGTCCTCGTTGGCCCAGACTCGTTGGGCAACTTCGTCCCAACCAGTGTGCGCTCCATTGAGCGGAAGCGCCTTGGAGTTCCTGCTGCGTCTGCTGGCCAGTCTGCCAGTTTTGCCCTGAAAAAGTTGAGGCGAAAAGACGTCCGGAAGGGTATGGTGGTTCTGCCAAAACTTGAAGGACAGCCCGCCCCCAAGGTGCACCGAGAGTTCATTGCTGAGGGTGAGTCATCTCCGTTCCATTTCTTGTGTTCCATGACTGTACAATGTCCCCGTCGTTCTCTGGCATCGTCGCCGGTCTCTGGCTTCGACATCCATCCGTGGCTTTGTCATCTCTGGCGTTGACGATGTCGTTCTTGGACCTGTCCCCAAATCCCCTACCGGTTTTTTTTGTCTGTCAACGCAGATGTACTGACTAGTCCAGTGTTGATTCTCTCCCACGCGACAACCATCAAAACAAAGTACCAAGCGATGCTTCACGTTGGCCCTGTGTCGCAGACGTGCGCGATAATAGACGTCGACCGCCCTTACATCCGCACGGGCGACAGGGCGACGGTGGCCTTCCGTTTTGTGCAGAGACCAGAGTATCTTGCTCCTGGGGATAGATTGTTGTTCCGCGAGGGCAGAACCAAAGGACTCGGAATCGTCAAATCGGTTGGATACGACCCGAGCAAGCCATTATATCCTCATGGCGACGCCGAGAGCGGCGGAGTGACTAACAGCGGGAACGACGAGGAAAAGCCAGCAAACGGCCAAGAGGTCAGCGTTGGGGCTTAAACAGTCAATGTCCTATTTTGATTGCGGCACCGCGACTGTATGTCTGATGGCTCTTCCATCGTCGTCGCCTCTGCTGTCGTTGTTGCTAATCCTACTCCATTGACTCACTTGCCCTCGAGTACTACCGAACACAGTATTTGGAGTCGCCATGGCACAGCAAAAATAGGGCCTCTCTAGCCGAGGCCTAGGGATGAAGAGGAGCATTGTTGCGGGAAGACAAACACTGAGAACAGCGGGCCGGGCTATGTTTGTACGATTGTTTACGGAGCGTTCCTTTTCTCAGTATGCATTGGGTTTCGGCGATACCAGGTATATACATTCAGGAGGTACAGCGAGTACCTTACACATTCATTCCTTTATAATGTACTCACGATCACATCTCGAATGTGACTGCCCACGTATCCTGTTTCTCAAGTGCTCATTCACAGTCCGCAAGTCTCCGCCATCATCCTCGGGAACTCTACCAATCTGACCTCCCAGCGTCCTCTCCACCTAGGCTCGATGAAATCACAGATTGCCAGTGTCTCCAGCACAGCACGCCTCCACATCCACCAATACCTTCGGTTACAGACCCTAGCAAGCCAATACGCCAGCATCAGCATCGCCCTCTCGTCCTTGTGCTCCAGCAGCCCCTTAAACCGCGGATCCAGCTTGCTCAGAAACGTCAAGAACGGCTTCGCCTCCTCCGGCGACCCGGGCTTCGCCGTCCGCCCCCAACACGCCGCCAACGACTCCGCCGCCGTCCAGTACGGGTTATCCTCCGGCAGCCCCTCCTCCAGCTTGTACAGCTCGCAGAACCCGTCGGGCAGGTTCGCGCGCATGTACGCCACGTCCTCGGCGCCCATCCTCAGCTTCGAGGCGGGGAGGAGGACGTGCGTGTACAGCGCGTTCGCGACGTCGCGGAAGATGCCCCTGGAGCGCAGCGGGTCCGTCAGGCGCCAGACCTGCTTCTTGCCGTCGCCGAGCTTCAGCCAGTCGAGGTCCTCCCAGCAGGGCGGGCGCAGGGGCCAGGCGTCGCGCGGGAAGGCGATGTCGGAGGTGTTGGCGAAGGAGGCGACGCCGACGAAGGCGGCGGCAACCCAGAGGGCGTCGCGCTCGGCGGGAAGGATGGGCTGGGAGAGCTTGCGGTGGAGGAGGGAGATGGCGCGGTACCAGTGGTAGGTGAAGGCGGGGTTGGCGGTAAGTGTCGTGGTTGTGAGGGACATGTCGTGGAGGTGGGTTAGGGCGAGGATGGTGTGCATCACGAATGGGTGCTGGAACGCGATGGGGAGGGTCTTTCGCTCGTAGATGTCCTTGGTTGTGGGCGTGCCGAAGCTGATGACGGTGCGCTTTTGGAAGCGCTCCAGGAGGCGGACGTCGGTGGGTGTTAGTTGGTAGGCCGCGTCCGGGCTTTTGGGGGAGCCGGTGGACGGCAGCGGGGGAGGGAGGGTGCGGGGGAGATAAGACACGGGTTTTCGGGAAGGGGCGGCGGCGGGTTTCACACGGCAGGAGGCTAGGTCTACTTCGAAGGCTACCTCGACCGATAGTGATGCTGCCTCAGAGGCGGGGCCGTAGGTGCAGGTCACGCCGTAGTCGAGGCATTTCTTGCAGCGGGGTTTAGATTCGTCGCACTGGAAGAGTGTAAGTCACTGACTCCGGGTGCTGGCATCATGTAGGGTAAGGGGTGGGCGATGGGCGAGAGCTGAGAGATGGCACATATCTGGGCGAAGAATTTGGGGGAAGAGGGTACCTACTTTGACTCTGCGCAGCTTGCAGTTCCCGCATCCCTTTCTGGATTTTGTGTGGGATTTCCTCTTGCGGACATCACCTCTCGAAGGTGGAATGGAGGAAATCATTCTTTGGTGTGCCTGCTCCCGTCTGCAACGTCGTTTGTTGTGAGGGTGTCTGTCTGTCTGGGCCCAGGTCCGTAAGCACAGTCGTGAGCAACGCTAGCTCCAATCTCACAGGCGATACAAGTTGACGTTCAGCAAGGAGCTCAGTTTGCAAGTCCTGCTTGATGTTGTGCGATACGAACGGAGGCAAGAGGCAAGAAGAAAACAGATCCTACATGGTGAGATCCCGTTTGTCCCTACCGGAGTTTAGGGAGCCCCACCTCCGGGGCCTTGGGCCCGATGATGCGCCCATTGCCGATCGGCCGATCACCCCGGTTCGCCGTCAGCATCGGGGCCCTGATTGGGTGGTTTCTGGGCGCGGATTCCAGTCTAACCTCCGTTCGTATTCCTGAGATCCTTCGGGGCCTGCTGCACTAGTTCCGAAATGCTGGTCTTTGGACCGGAGAAGAGCTGCGATGTTCTTGGTATGGGAGTAATCAAACTTCAACGAGAGTTACCTCGATGACTCGACTCGGATCGATTCGAGTGCCGACTCGACGCGTGAATCTCAAAAGGACTCAGCTTTTTGACGGAAGCGTGCATGAAGAGCGCCAACAGCAAGCAACAGCGTGGCTCATCACACTCAGCCGTTTATCCATCTTCGGAGGAAAAGAAAAAGCAACAGCTCCGCGCCCGCAAGCTGTACATATCGGGCGGACCGGACAGATTCCATTCCCAATGCGGTCTGCTTCTGCAATCGCGATCGGCTCCGATAGTCGATTTCTGGCGGTTACGTGCATCATCAACGGGTGCTCGCGTTTACGAGGTTGCATCGATGCATGCGCGCTGTTGTTGGTGGATAGATGCTGGTTCAGTCCGTGGGATAGTCGAGATGGGCTGGGCTGGGCTGCAGGTGAGACAAACATGATGCGGCTCCGTCTTCACTGCAACGAGATAAGCGACGACTGCGAGAACATGTGTTTGTTCGACAGAATGGGGTGCAGGGGATAGAAGATCGGACGTATCACGCATTTTGCATCGTCGGGAGATCACATGGAGGATCATGCATGCGACCCTTTTCAAAGCCCAAAAAGGCGATGTTTGAGATGGACTTTTCAGCCAGCACAGCGACTCCCGGGTTATCGTTGGGACTGATCTCCGTCGTTACGCCCAATGTCATATCCAACAGAACAAGATACCAAAGGATCTCGAACAGCAGCAGCATCATAAGGTAAAGTAAGAAAAGAGTCAAACAACACGCTTTTTGTATATCAGACTGAACTGTTGAGCAGCACTAACAACCTTTCCATATATGACCCGGCATCAATATCTAATTACTTGCCCTCAAACGGCGCCCGCATCCCTTGCTGCATGATCCTCCCCGCCGTCCTCTGCGCCCCCTCAATCACCTTCTGCTTCTGCTCCTCTGGAATCTCGGGATACAATGCCTCCAGCGGCACATCCCTCACGGTAATCTCGGACTTCTCGTTGGTGCCGATCTTCTGCGTTTCGACCACGCTGCCGGCGCCGTACTTGGGCTCCTGCATCACGCGCATTACAATGGCAGCACACTCGCGCGCCGTCATGTGCACGTCGTCCTTGGTCACCTTCCTGTTCCACTCGGGCTCGAAGATGGGTGTCTGTTGCAAGGTTTAGCGGCAATTTTCTTCAGTGAAACATAAGAAGACTCACAAGGACTGCTCCCGGGCATATGGCAGAGTACCTGATCCCGCAAATATCCCTCAAGCCGCCCATACACTTGACAAAGCTGACGAGCCCAGCCTTGCTCGACATGTACAGCGGCGTCTCGAACGAGTGCACGTACCCGCCGACGCTCGCCACGGCGACAAAGTTGCCCTGCACGTCCTTGTTCTGCGTCCAGTAGTCCGTGGCCATCTGCGCCAGCCGGATTGGCGCGACCTGGTTAACGGCTATGATGCGGTACTGGCCGACGGCCGCGTCGGCAGGGTCCCCGGACTCCGCCGAGACGCCGGGCGGGTACCAGAAGTTGCTCTCGGGGGGCTCGTAGATGCCCGCCACGGCGGCAACGATGTCGACGCGCCCGAAGAGCGCGAGGGTCGTCTCCCAGAGGGACTGCAGCTGCGCCCAGTCGGCGACGTCGGTGCGGTGGAAGTGCGCGGAGGCGGGGCCGCGGGCGGACGGGGAAGGCGGGCCGCGGTGCTGGGCGAGGGTTGCCTCGGCTTCTGGGCGGAGGCGGAGGTCGGCCATGACGACGGAGCAGCCTGCCTCGAGGAGGAGCTGGGTCAGGCTGTGGCCTATGCCGGAGCCGGCGCCGGTGACGAGGGCGACTTTGCCCTGGACTTCGTAGAAGGACATTGCTGACGAGATATGCAGTGAGGAAGAAGATGGGAACACACAGATGGCATGGAAGATGACAGGAAGTCAAGATAGAAGGGCTGCCGTCTCTGGGTATTTGCAGCTCGTCGGCTTAGACTTGGCCTCGCGTGGGGGGTTAAGAAGTCCATCTTCAGCATCCATCCTCTCCTCCGCCTGCGCCTGAATGCGCCTAAATTGGCGGTTAGCCGCAACCCGGCAAGTCTTCCAGAAGTCCGGGACGCAATAAATGTGATGGGCCGTCTTGTCCTTGCTGCGCTATTTGTGCCCGTCACTTGTTCTTTCTTGAACCAATAAGCAGGTGGTGTGACCAACGCGCATCAGTCCACACCCATGTCCAGAGATTCCTCGACCGGTGAGGTGCAGGGAGGATGACAAGGTGTTGATCCCTCAAGGAGGGTGGTAATCGCCTGTTTGAACTTTGCGGTTGTCCATATCGACGACGGGCGGTTTCCGAGGCATGAGAGGCCCCGTAGACAGACAGATTGATGGAGAACTCGAGATGGGCATCCCCGCTGGAGAGTTCCCGGTTAGCGGTGGGAACCAGCACCAACGACAAGATGCGCTGCTGCAGCTGTCCAGATGCGGCCTGGGTTGAGCGGTATGCAAGCGATGTGATGGGGGAAAAGGGCCTTTGATGCACTGCCTATGGGAAATAGCTCTCATTTTAAGGTTTATCATCGCATGTCGTCTGCTTTTTGGAGCTATGGCTGGACTCGAGACCCTCAATTACTCGAGGATGTGTTTCAGGCGGTCCCCTGCATTTTCCCAAAGTAGAAAATGCTTTTCCCTGCTGGTCGGAATCCTTCGTCGAGGGATGTGATGTGCGAGTGGATCACACTGATCTTGCAACATGAGACCCGCAACTGATAAACGAACACGATGTAGGGTGAGGTGAGTTGTGATGAGAAGACCTCTCGGGTGGGGATGTTCGTTTTGGGTCTCTGGAAGCCGCTTCTTCAACCCTCGGACAAGTGTAAACCTTGCATCACGCATCACCGCGGCCCATATCTTACACATCATCATAGTATCATTTGAGAAATCAAACCAGATGCTACTGAAATCTACAGAAACAAGATCTACCTCGTTCTATGCAAGACACACGGTGACATGGTAGCCACGAAAGACGCCTTCTAACCATATGCAAGCCTCTATTCTACTACAACGCGCCAAACTCTACACCGCAAATCATGGCCGTCTATTTCGCAATCTCAACGCCTCCGGTGGCGCCGAGAGCCTTCTTCAAATCACCATAAATCGCAAACTGTCCCGCCGTCAGCGCACCGACCATGAACAGACGCGCCGGCAGACCGCTGAACGATCCACGAACACCAAGTTCCTTGGCGATCTTGACCAGCCTGCTCGTCGTGCTTTCTCCAGGAAGACCCTTGGTCTTGTTAATCTTGGACAGCATAGTGTCAGCCGGCTGCGACACGATGGCCGCCGCGAAACCCGCAATGAGGCCGGAGCCGAGATTGATCGTCGTCTGCATGCCGCCGCTCGTCTTGCTCTTGTCGAAGAAGTTGGCGTACGCGAACTCGGAGACCTTCTCGAACGCGACGAACTTGGTCATGGTGTACGGCACCTGCTTGAAGAGGATGGGCCCGAAGCCCGAGTAGAAGGCGGCGAGGCCCTCCTGGCTGGCGATCTTGGAGAAGCCAGAAACCAGCCCGGAGGCGAAGCCAGGCTGCGAGACGAGGCGGATGCGCGTGGCCTCGAGCGGGCACAGGGCGATGTCGGCGAAGAACTCGGCGGCGGCGGCGGAGACGCAGTAGACGGCGATGCGGTTGGCGCGCGCGTTCTCGTAGCCGACGGTGTCGATGGACTTTTGCTTGAAGAACTCGTAGCCGCCGAACTTGAGGGCGCCCTGGAGGAAGTAGCCGGCGAACGTGGGACCGGCGCCGGTGAGGAGGGCGCCGGCGCCTTCGGTCTGGATCACCTGGCGGAACCCGCCGATGAGGCCGCGGTTGTAGGTTGCGGGGTCCAGTTGGATGCGGGTCTTGACGCTGGAGGTCTGTTAATATTGCACGCTTTCAGGTCGATGAGGGATTTGCGGGAGGATGTACACGTCGACGGGGGTGAGACCGCCGTGGGTGACGGAGCAGCATACCGCGCCGGCCAGGGCGAACCTAGAGTAGAGGTTGAGGCCGGAGAGCTTCTCGGGCTCGGCCTTCACGGCGGCGAGCGTCGGGGCGGCATTCGTTCCACTCATCTTGCCGGTATTTGACTGTGAGTGAGGGGGAGAGGGGAGATTCCACCTAGATTCGTGAGGTGAGAAGGGAGGTGAGATGAGTCAAATGAGGCTGCGCTGAGTGGTTAAAGCGACGGTCGCCGAGCACGTGCGGGAGAAGTCACAGGGACGGCCCGCTAATACGCCGGGTACTGCAGGGGGTGTTTTGGGACTTTTGTTGTTTATCGTCGGCTATGCGTAGGTAATACGAAGAAGATAGTTGGTACGTCAGCCCCCTGAACTTCGGGTTGTCTGGGTCCGGGAATGGCCGGAGGAAAGCGGGTGTCACCGGGGCGAATGTCCGGGCGTTGGCGCCGGCTTTGTTTGCGGCGGGAACGGGCCTCTTCGAGGTTTCACGGTATTTCTGAACGGTCGCCTCCGAAGATGTAAAGGTTGCATCTGTGGAGGAGGAGAACCCGATTGGCAAAACTGCTCGTACCCCGCTCCGTGCGGTGAATTGGCTGCCATTGAATGCTACGCCTTCTCCGACGACAAGGTGCTGGGTATTGGAATGCACATTCCACTCATCTCCTCCGGAGACAGCCAGGCTTACATGGATCTGCGATGCTAACCTGTCCTCGTACCCTTTGAATCCTGCGCTAACCCAGCTTCCTACCACATCTTAGGGTCCGAGGGGCCGAGACAGCCACACAGTCTTCAGTGGGAAATGTTACTCTTCTTCGCCCGTAAAGTCCATCATGAGGTTTCCGTTGCTGGGATTCAAGATCCAAACTGTATCGTAATAGGTCGAGGGCGGGCGGCAGT